CCGTGTGTTTCTCGCCCACCCCCTTTGGCCGCAGCGCCTATAAAAAACCCTCCCGGGGGCAGCGGCGGCGAGTCGAGCGCCAGGCGGGTCTTGCGAGCAGAGTGTCCTCTTCTGGCCGGAGTCCGGACGTCCTTCCGTCGCCACTCAATTCTTGCTGCGCCACCAGGTCCTGCTGCCGCTGCTGCTGCTCTTGCCGCCGCCATGGCTCCGATGACGGTGAAGGCCTACCTGCTGGGCAAGGAAGAGGTGACCCGCGAGATCCGCCGCTTCGCCCTGGACAAGCCCGCTCGCTACCAGCCCATCCGGGACAAGGTGGCCGAGCTCTTCCAGGGGCTCCTCCGGAACTCCGCGGCCGCCTCGGGCGCCTTCCAGATGTACTACAAAGGTGGGCGAGGCGAGGCGGGGGGAACACCCCACTGGGGACGCTGGCGCGATAAACGGGGGTGGTGGTGGTAGTCGCACGGTCTCCCCGACTTCCCCTTGGAAAGGGCCCTCCGAGGTGCCTTGGATCGGGACCTGGAAGCCTTTTTGCTTCCCTCTCCGTCAGACCAGGGGACGCTTCACCGGCCCGATTGCTGCCTGTTAGGCTGCCGCCGTAGGGCGCAGTAGGGAAGGGGGCAGCCACAAAGAAAGGGGTGGGCGGGTGGTGGGTCGTCGTCTCTCGTTTCAAGCAAGTCGGGGGCAGTCAGTGACGGAAAGTTTTTCCATGCAGATTCTGGGAGCGAAGCCTTCCGATGTTTGTGTCAGTGGGGGTGGAGGGGTGGGGCTCCATTTGTTGTGCAACAGGCGCACCCGTTCGTCCAGTGGGAGCCCGGGTCACCTCTGTGCGTGTTCGTGGGTCCTGGGGTCAGGGGCTTGTGGGCATCGAGGTGGCTGGCACCTTTACTCTAGCAACTAGGCAAGCGAGGTGGATCAACCTTGGAATGGTTATAATTCTGTAGTTCCACCCTCCTGAAAAAATATTGCCTAGTGTTTTGTTTTTTTGTTTTTGTTTTTTTTAGTCAGTTTAACCTGGGTTCCAAGTTTGTTTGGAAACCAAACAAAACTGGTGTTTATCTGCTAACGGAGGCCTTTGCCTGCCAGTGGAGGCTGGCATTGGCAGAGGGGTTGAAAAAGCAATCTGCAGGGGCGCAGAGGGAAAATGGTTTTTCCCACACAGCCCACAACTTCCAAGTTTATCCAAACAGGTTGGGGTTGTGCTTCAGTGTAGTAAGGCCCCCTCAGTTCATCCTAATTCAAGAACAGGCAAAATAGGAAATAACCTCTGTGCTGTGTATTCGCGAAGGCTTTTCTCGGCCAGGATCTAATGGTTATTGTGGGGTTTTCGGGCTCTCTGAAGATGCCGGCCACAGAGATTGGCGAAACGTCAGGAAGAACAACCTTCAGAACACGGCCAGAGAGCCCGAAAAAACCCACAACAACCTCTGTGCTGTTGTTCTAGCTTTGAGTCTTATCTCTGTCGCTCATTCTTTCTGAGTGAAAGAGACAACATGTTATGCTGGTGCAAATGTCAGGTATGTACGGGTTGGCCCAAGTACTTCGATCCTTCTCACTTGATTATAGCCTGAGTGGGAGGGTGATTACGTAGAAAAGTTTTGTGGAGCTGATCCACCCATGCATTTTGGCCTTTCATGTGGTAATAGATTTTTACACAAGTATGTGTAGGAGGGGCATGTTGGGAGTGAAATGAAGGGATAAACAAAGCCACAAGAAATGATTTTGAGTGTGTTGTGGTGCCACTCTTTCTCTGGAGGAGGATTGCCTCTTTTGGCCTTAATAAGGTAGCAGATTACAGCACTATGTATGTTTCTGACTGAGAATCCTAAAGTTCTTTTCTTTGGTTGAGGGAGAGGCCTTCGTTGTGAAATGTGTGAGGGAGGGAGGGAGGGAGATTTGTGACAAGATGTTGCAGGAGAAAGATGAACACTTCTTTGGATGACCTTCACTGTTGATTAAGCCACCATCGAGGAGTTGCATGTGGTTTACTCGTGCATTAATTTAGAACACCTAATTTAATTTACTAAGTTAATTTAATAAATTTATTGTCATTGCTTTTTTCTGTTCAGTAATCTTCAATCTACTGGTAAATAGGGTCTTTTTGACATGTTTATCTTGGTCATGGACCTTCACTCTTTATATACTTGTAGCAACAAATCCTTGGGTGTTAAACTTTAGTATTTGTCCTTGTTAGTCTCACTTTTCATTGGAAGCTATAAAAAAACAGCTCCTGTATCGAGTTGGTACTCCACCCACTCTGAAGTCTTGGCAGGGAGGATTGAACATTTTAAGAGGTTGACATCAGAGCGTTATCTCTAGAAGGGAACTTGGTCTATTTTCTTATGTAGATTAAGAGCAAAGATACCACACTGCTTTTATACCTGTTAGATACTTGACATGTATGCAGTTGTTTTTTCATCTTCACCTCAAGATCAAGAACTTGCACAGATGTATTTGTATCTGGTTTGGCTAGTTTCAGGTAGCTCTTGAAATGGAGGCCTTGTCAATGCTATTTCTCATTAATGGGGGGGGGAGGGTTCTTTTATTTCAAGAAACAGTTTACGGAGATTGTTTCCTGTAACAGCGCCCTTGTAATTAATCTCTTAATGTCTCACTACAGCTTTCTCACATCTTAACTTTTGCTTTTGTTGTGAAAAGAACATGGACAAATGGCTGAGTGTGCTGAGTGTTTTTAAAAACAAAGGGCTCTTTAGGCAGGCTTTCCCTCCTGTCATCACTTGAATATTTTTCCCATCTTGAACTATATTACTACTGTTGTTTTTAATTTTATTATATTGTTTTTATTCTATCTATTATTGTTAGCCACCCAGAGTAGACTTCGATCTAGATGGGCGGGGTATAAATTCAATAAACAAACAAATAATTCGTTTGTTTAGTCAGACTTGCATACCACTTTCAGTTGGAAGAAGGTTTCATTTGTTTAGTCAGGCTTGCATACCACTTTCAGTTGGAAGAAGGTAACATTTCTTCTGGAGCCTGGCTAGCCAGTGTTATTGCTTCCATTTTCAGGCTTATTCAGTCTCAGGTGACTAAACAAAGTAGTAGAGTTGTTTTCTAAAAACTGCATTTTACTGTGGAGCATGAAGCTAAAGCATATTTCCCCAACAGTACACATTGCCAAGTGGACTCAGTGTCACTAATCAGTTTTCTTGATAAGGGGCTTGTACATAAACCAACAGAAATTGGCTTAAGGGAGTAGTTAATCAGTGCCATTTTGGTGAGGAATGTATGCTAACACTGTCTTCTCAACATGCAGGTGCTTTAAAGTCCAGCAAATACAGTTGGTTTCTTTATGGGTACACTGTCAAAATGAATGTCATTGTTGGGTTTTTCTTCTTTCAGATGAAGATGGAGATATGGTTGCTTTTTCCAGTGATGAAGAATTGAAGCTGGCCCTACCCTCTGTGAAAGATGGCATTTTTCGCATTTATGTTAAAGGTAAACCCGATTCTTTCAAGGCCATTGTCCTTTAATCTTTCTTGGCAACTGTTGGCTTGTAATGCACTCTGGACTTTGTCTGAATGGTTAGAACTGGTGCAGAATAAAAAACCTGCCACAGATCATTCACATTCAGAAACCGCTTTCAAGGAGCCAATGATCGGTCGGAAAACACTGATTCAGGGCCAATAAAGATCCAAAGGATTTTAGACCCCTTCATTTCCTTGACGTGTCTAAGAACATATAAAGTTGTCTTGCATTGGAGACAAAGAGAAGTAAAAAAACACGTGAACTATAACAGGGTGTGGAAGGCTACTGTTTCTTTCCCACACTCTCCCCCTCCTACAACTCAGGATTGCTCTGAAATAGGCTATCATATAACTCAGTGGTCCTGATTCCCTGAGAATAAGCCCCACAAATTAAGGGGACCCACTTTTGAGTAAATGTATCTAGCACAGAGTTACAAGCCCATAATTGATTTTGTCACCTTAATTAAATATTCAAGTTTTGTTGGATCTTTATAGCGTATAGAACTAGTACTACAACATTTTAGAATGACTGTTTGGGTTTGCTTTTTTCCCTTCTTCATTCTGTATGCTTTTTCCCTTTTGTTGTCTTTTAGATAGGCTTACAAGCAGTAATGATGGTGCAAGCTGTTCAAGGGTTGTTGTTTTGGGGGGGCTGAAGCTTGTGTGTGTGTGTATGTGTTTAAAGAAAATCTTTAAGGAAATGTGATAAATAAAGTCCTGGGAAGTCAGGTACCCATTAATTTGGGATAGTGAAATATTTTCAGGTGCCCCCCACCTTGGAAAGTCTACATGGTGACTAATAAGTTGTTTATTTCTAGAGCATAGCAAAGATTGTAGGCGAGGAAATTAATATGTATTATATATGCATTATATATGCATTATGTGCTGTCTATTTTTTAAAAAAACTATTGTCCTGATATTATAATATGGAGGAGTTTTAATGATAGGTGTTTGGTTACTTAGCATAGGGATAGTTAAGCAACGCTTTCTGTTTGTGTCCTTCAGAGAAAAAGGAACTGAAGCGTGAACACCTGCACCGCCAATCGTGCAGCCAGGAACGTCCTCAAAATCTGGTGCATCCAAATGTGATCTGTGATAGCTGTGATGGCCCAGTTGTAGGTGCCAGATTTAAGTGCACGATTTGTCCAAACTATGACCTGTGCAGCACTTGTGAGGGGAAAGGTGTCCATAAGGAACACAACATGATCATGTTTCCAAGCCCACTGATCCATCCATTCGAGGTAAGTATTGTGAGGAAAGGGCCAAAAGTTGTTAACAACCGTGGGTGTGTAAAGATCTGGCCTAAGACAGATCACCACTCTTCTAAAGCAACAGCCACCTACTGACATGTTCCTTTTGCATTTTTAGTGGCTTCCCCGAGGTCGCTGGTTTCGTAAGATGAGACATGGCGGTGCACCTTTTGGTTGGATTCAAGGCTGGGGGCAGCCTTGTCCTGCTCGTCAGCATCAAAATTCTGACCAGGCCGAAGCTGCCACCTCTTCCCAGGCTGCTGCTCCTGAGCAAGGTAACAATTTAGCTTTCTGATGTCCAGGAAATCAGCTGGAAGTGCACAATGAATTAATATGAAAACTGGCATCCTTATCCTTGTCTTAGGCCTTGGGAATGCACAGATTCCATAGCAAACAATTGTTTTTGACAGCAGTGGTTCCCAACCTTGGGTGACCCAGGTATTCATGCATTGCAATTCCTAGAAACTCCGGCCAGCACAGCTGGTAGCAAAGGCTTCTGGGAACGTGCAGCCCAGGAACACCTATGTCACCCAAGGTTGGGAAGCACTGTTCTAGAGGATCTATTTTGAACATACATTTTAAGATCTCATCTCAAAATGTTGCACCATGTTATATGTAAAAGATAAAAGGGGCTGAGAGATTTGAATATTTGTCTTAAACTTTATTGGAAAAAAAATGTCCCTTTTACTTCCTGTACCTAATGACTGACCTCTTTCCCCTCCCTCTATAAAAGAAGCCTCTGACAATCAGCCTCAGGATCCCAGTGTCACATTCCTAAAGAATGTTGGAGAAAGTGTTGCTGCCTTGCTGAGTCCTCTTGGTAAGCTGTTCCCATCTTAACCCCACTGATGAATTTCTAATGCAGCTGGTGGGCTAGGGAGACATTTCTAGTCTGGAGTAGCCCTTCTGTTGCCCTTTTCTGAAGGGGTGAGTGTTGCGTGCTGTGATCTCACATGACTGTATTTGCAAGACCTTACCATGGAAGATGTGGTTGTTGGCTTAGGGTGCCCACTGGAGCTATGGGGCACAAGAGGAAACATGGTAGAGATATGTGCAATCATGAATGGGAGGGAGAAACCTATCCTCTAATACTGAAGGTGGGAGATTCCAGATAGATGGATGTAGGCATTTCACACAGCAAATAGTTAAAAAGTAATTCACAGCTACAAGATGCCATGCTGCTAACTGCCAATGTGGACAGGCATCAGTGGCTAACAGTTCGGATGGCCATGTTAGAAGCCATATGCTTCTAGATGGCAAGGCTGGGTAAAGTGGGAAATAGTGTGGTTGCACCTTTGCCCAGCTAATGAGCTTCCACTAGGCAGCTGGTAGGCAAGAATGTGGACAGAATGTTTTGCTGCAGTCACTTCAGTATGATCAAGCATGGGTCTTCATATATTCTTATACCCAGAGATGCATTTACAAGTACTCTTTTTTTTTAAATCCATAAGCAGGCCACATCATAAAGAGGGGAAGTAGATTTGTGGAAAAAAGCAATTCTCTGGACAAGTCAAAGTCAAGGTTGAGTAATACTGGGGGTCCGTTAAAGATACTATTCCACTCTGATTTTGCTCATGGACAATAAGGTTTTGATAGACTTTTGCTTCTAGTAAACCATTTGCACAGAGACGTCAGCTAAGAAAAATAGAACAAAAGGTTTTGAATGAAAATTTATGTACTTATAACAAAACAGAAACATCCCTATTATTGTTTTCACTCAGGCTGTGCTACCAGTTCAGTAATTTATTGAATGAATGAAACAAAGTGGTTAATATAAAGAAAAAATCAGTCTCTCTCACACACACACACACATGCACACACACACACACACAAAAGAAAGCAACCTACTAGATGATGCTAGCTGCTGCCGTGGTTTCTTCAGCATTCTGGCACGTTACATAACTGCACTACTGCAGCCAAGCCTTGCTTGTGACCTGAGTTCAATCCTGGCAGGTTCAGGTAGCCGGTTTATGGTTGGCTCAGCCTTCCGTCTTTCTGAGTTTGGAAAAATGAATGCCCATCCTGCTGCTGGGCAAAGTGTTCCTTGCATAATTATGTTGTAAACTGCCCAGAGAGTGCTCTTAATGCTATATAAGTTGAAACAGTAACAACAACAAGATGACACAAGCATGCAGAAGCTCATTTGTATATATAGCCCCAAGGAAGAAGCAGCCAACAGGATCTCTATGTACTCAGATCTCTCAAACAAACCAAAAGTAAATAGATTACTGAAGACAGTTGGGGACTTTGTGCCTACAAACTCACTTTTGCCTCTTACTACAAACACAGCAGACAGAAGCTCTCTGTTGCTGACAATCTGTCTCCCACCTCCTCTCTCCAACAAAAAAAACAGACAAAAAAAAAACCAATCACAGAGAAACAACTCTGTTCAACGTCTTCCACACTCACACAAAGTCAAGGAGGGAGTCTCTTCTTTTTATCCAGAACAAGCAAGCGGGACACAGATTCAGTAATCTCTGCCTCTCACACACAGAGGAACCAGAGGGTTTTGATACTCGGGAGTGTCTGCCTCTCACATCTTGGAACAGCTACCCCCCAAGGACCTCTGTGGTGAGCAGGCTCCCCCCCACCACCCCACAAGCATTTGACATAGGGATGTGGAGATCTTCAGAATGAACAATGTCTGTCCTTTTTAACAGATGAATAATACCTAAGCAGCGGGGTCTCTGTAGCCACTGGTCACTCTCACGACTTAGCTGTTGGATGTTCAATAAGGAGTAAGACAGGAGACACAGCTCTGAAGGCAGTCCAGGCCCCAGACTTGCTACTAATAGTCATCAGGAACTGCTGGGAGAAATTAAACTTTGACACATTACTGATGTTGGCCAGCTATGCTGCACAAAATAGTTAGCTAAGGGGTTCCACTAGAGTTGGTTTTAGCTCAGTTCTGTGTCCCTGATAAGTTTTGTAGTACCGAGTTCTGAACACATCCCTTTACCTCCTTGGCTTCTCCACCAGTAATTTCATTTGGAAGCCTTAGCATATTGTGGGTGGTAATGTATTTCTTATATATCTGCCTTCTCAACCACAGAATAATGACATGACCGTAGAGTTAACAGCGATCGTGTCCTTCAATATTTTAAATGGCACATCCTTTTTGCTTCAAATGTGCCATGTAAAGGCACAATATAAATACTTGAAGTTCTCCCAGAGTAATGGGAACTATGAGGAAGATGTTTGCACTGCAGGCCACTTCAATGCAGGGCAGGGTACTTGACTAGATACTGTAGGATAGTTGCCTGGTGCTTCATTGTTCATATAACCGAGTCCTTTTTCACATTCTCATAAGTGACTGCTTATAGCAGGAGAAAACATTTTCTGTCCCCTGTCTTCTTGACAGAACTATATTTGACTGCTGTCATCGTACAAAGACCGTGCAGTTTAAAAACAACATCCAAGCATGTACTTACCTTCTCAATGTGCCAAGAACTTTGGGCAGTTTGAAGACTGCCTCTAACTTCCACCCTTTGTACTGTTTTCCCAGGCATTGATGTTGATATTGATGTGGAACATGAGGGTCAGAGAAGCAAAGTGGCCCCTACGCAACCCAGCTCTGAGAAGGACAACCCTGATCTCAGCACCTTCAAGGACCAGACCAGACCAGAAGCAAGTGACAAAAGCAAACCAGATTCTGAGGCAGAGGATGCTCTTTCAGACCAGCTACAAGACATGATGGTATGCTCTCCTTTGCAAATGGAAGACGAGACCCTTTTGCCACAGGTACAAATAATACGTTCTGAATGTGCACTCAGTAGTATACTGTAGTTTCTATGGACAGAAAAGAGCAGATACGGATTAAATGGTTTTCAATGCATTCCTATGGGAAATGCAGATTCAGCATAAGAACTTTTCAACTTGAGAACCACCTTCCAATACGGATTAAGTTCTTAAGTAGAGATCCCACTGTAGTATAATGTACATATTCAGCTCATGCTAGTTGTAAAATAAATACAGAATATGTTTTTAGTAATATTTTGTTAAGTACGCTTTTCTTTTAATGTGCATTTCCTCTGCTTTGTATAATTTCATTAGGAGGCAATTCTGGTAATCATCTGGCCTTAATGGGAAGGGGGAAATGGAGTAGTTTATTCAAATAGGTGTAATTTATTAGCAGCACATCTTTAGCTTGTTCATGTTGGATCTTGAATGGGCACAATCTTGGTGAAGCCAGAAATATTAGAGAAGAACTGAAAAACCTGCAGGATGTTCTAAAAGGAGTCACTGCTTGCAGTTGACCTGGAAACTTGTGATAAGTTTCCAAGGACGTAATGAAATGTGATTAAAGACATTAATAAGGAATGCCATTCTGTAGAGAAGGAAGGTCCCTGAAATGTGTGTAAGACGAGATAAGTCAGTCTAACTGATGGTGAAGTGGAGAAAGTTCTTTTGTGGAAGAATGTGGATAATACTGTGTATATGTTGCTAGAATGTTCATGGCTGGCATGATTTAACTGCTGTAGGTTCTGTGCTTCCTTGCACTTTTTGTTTGGAGGTTGAAATGTGACCTAACATTACTGTCTGTAATTGTGTGTGATTTTATTAGAAACGGGTGTGTTTAACAAGTATCTTGCCTGTCTATACTTCTAGGAACAAGGTGAATCCAGTAGCAGTTTAGCAGGAGATGAGGACTGGACCCACTTATCTCCAAAGGAAGTAGATCCTTCAACTGGTGAGGTGCAGTCTTTGCTCATGCCAGAGACAGACAACCCAAGCTCTCTGGACCCAAGTAAAGCTCCTGCCAGCACTGGACCAACAGGATTGCGAGAGGCTGCCATCTACCCACACCTTCCACCAGGTATGAAGACCTTGGATAGCTTCTCTACTTTGGTGAGGGAAAATGTCCATTCTTGCAGACCAGGTGCAGAGTGTAAGGTCTACTGGTGCCACTTGCATCTCATGTAGAGTTTATAACATTTCCACTGTATCAAAAGGAAACATGAGCCTTAAACTTGGGTTATTGAGGAAAAAAATAGCTGTCCTTTAGCATATGTGCTTGGGATAAGAAACAAAATAAGAAAGAAAGCAGTAAGAGTACAGGGGAAAAAAGTGTAAATGAAAGCCAGTTCAACCAGTAAACAAGGTAACAGTGCCTGAAAGAAGCTATATTTTGATGTTGGAACACCCATATAAGTCTGCCTCCTTGACAGACAACAAAGGTAATTATGGATTAACTTTTGAGAAGAGCGTTTCACTTCCAGGAATACTACAAGTTGGAAAGCTCATTTGTCTTAACTGTAATTGATAGTTTGACTTGGGTTAAAACTGCACACTGGGAAAACTAGGTAGAATTAGCAGTAATTCCTAGTGCTGCACATAAGACAAGCCCTACTTCAGTTTAAAAATGGTGCCCAATCTGTACTTTTAAGAATTTCAATAGGGCTCGTGTCTAGGAAGGCCGAAGATAACCCACAGGAAATATGTTTACTGCGTGTTATTGCAAATGCGTAGTTCCTCTCTTGGAGAAAGGACTGTTGAGAAGACCATCAGGTTTAGATATATTTATTTCATAGAAGATAGTTTTTGAGGGGTTCAGAGCTTTAGACGTAATAGCCAACATTTGTGTTGCCAGTTTCATTGTAGAACAGAATTGTATGTGTTGAGATTCTGTTTCCAGTCTGAATAATGATCAGCAGATGATCCGGGAGGCTCACAATCTCCGAGATATATATATATACACACACCTCTCTGTGAAATTGTGAGTGCTGCATTTATTTTGAAAGAGGAAGAGATGTAATTCATTACATCTCTTGTGAGTTGTGAGTATAATGTTGTGATAAGGGGGAGAGATTATCTGCCACTGTGATTGATGGGTGTTGTTAGCTGGTCTTTTGTGTGCAGTGATCTCTGGTCCTTGTGGCTGGGTAGAGTTCGTTGACCTTTCGCATGCTGTATTTTTCAGTCAGCAAAGGACAAAAGGGACCCCTTCACCACTGCAGGAATATACCAGGTATCTTGCAGTGGTGGCCAGGAATATATTGGAACTACAAAATGTAGCTTCCACACCAGAATCAAAGAACATGAGAGACACTGCAGACTAAAACTAGAAAAATTGGCAGTAGTTGAACATGCCCTAAAACAAACTGGACATGAAATTCTATTTCAAAACACAGAAGTACTGGACAACACCAGCAATCATTATGTTAGACTGCACAGGGAAGCCATTGAAACCTGCAAACACCAGCACAGTTTCAACAAAAAAGGAAAGTTTAAAACTAAATAAAGTGCTCCGAGCACTGAAAAATACACCCTGCAAAAGGTCAACGAACTCTACCCAGCCGCAAGGACCAAAGATCACTCACTGCACACAAAAAACAGCTAACGACACCCATCAGTCACAGTGACAGATAATCACAATAAACCTACAGCAAAAAAACATGCTGATCACTATAATCACCCACCTCCTGAAAAGGACAAAAGCTATACTATGTAGCTATACAGTGGGGTCTTGACTTGAGAACTTAATCCATATTGGAAGGCGGTTCTCAAGCCAAAAAGTCTGTAAATCAAGTCTCCATTGACCTACAGTGCATTGAAAACCGATTAATCCCGTAACAGGCCGTTTTTGTTCCATTTTGGTTTTTTTCTGGTCTGTAACTCAAATCTCAGTCTGCAAGTCAAACCTAAATTTTGCGGCCAGTGAAGTCTGTAAGTCAAGCCGTCTGTAAGTCAAGGGTCCACTGTACTATGTAGCCAATCATGGTAGGACATATATAAGATACTATATCTTGGTCCAATCAACTAATCTGGTTGAATATGGAAACATAAGAATTTTAAGGACTGGCTGAACATCTCTCAGTTCATTTCTGCTACATTTATTTATGAAGTGGAACTGAGAAGTCTTAAGGGACCAAAGTCTGAAACATCTGGAAAGCAAAAGGTTTTCCTTTCCGTTACAAAACATTCAAAAGGCAATTTCACAGACTGCCTGGATGGCCAGTAGACAGTATAATGGGATTTTTGTTATTTTAAAGGGAAAATGTCCTTATATGGGTTGCCCCATTCATTCTCTATTAGAAGAGTGCTTGAAGCTGAATTTGTCTATTCTTGCCTATATGAAACCAGTGGACAAAGCATCCTGCCCAACAATATATTTTATCCTTTGTAGAAAATAAATGTGTTAAACTGCAGTGTTCATATCACCAGGTTTTTAACAAATTCAGATTCTAAATATTTACAGAAGCAGATCCTCGACTGATTGAATCCTTGTCCCAGATGTTGTCCATGGGATTCTCTGATGAAGGAGGCTGGCTTACTCATCTGTTGCATTCCAAGAAGTATGACATTGGAGCAGCCCTGGATGCTATCCAGTATGCCAAGCAGCCACGAGCTTCCAAGTAGCATGTGTGCAACACATAATCCGTAAAGCAGATTGTTGAAGCTACTTCTTCTGAATAACCTACTTTTTGTATCTTTCCCCCTTCCTGTAATGAGTTGACTGTATTTCCATATTCTCAATTCATACTGTAAGAATAAATATTCTTCTTAGCGTTTCCAACTTACACTGCTGTGTCATCTTTTTTCATATTGGTATTTCTAACAAGGTACTTTGTAAGTACTTACACCATGGAAAGAAGGAGGGGAAAAGTTATAACACCCAACCTCAGTTTTTAAGATCAAGTGGTGAATGTCTGGTGAACTTTATGGTGAAAGTTGTGGCTCTGGAAATTAGTCCAAGGGTCCACATGCTGGATACTATTTGTGGCATCATCTAGATTCAGCTAATACCGATTGACACTGTTGTGAATACATGGGGCAGATTACGATGGCAGCAGCTCATAAGGTTGGGACCCACTGCTCTGGGAAGCTAGTTTATCTTTTAAATAGATCATTGGGCATTCCTGTACTAATTACTACCCCCAAATGCCCATTTTCAAAACCTGAAGTTGCCTTAATCAGTGTTAAAAGGTAAAAGGAATACTGCTGGGCTTTAGTATTTAAAAGGAGGGCAACTGGGAAAACAGTAGCTACACAGAAATGGAAGGGATGGGGGTTAAAAGACAATGAGTTTGGCATCAAACATTCACTTCATGAAAAAGTGGCAGTTGCTCCATTATAATCGGCAGTGCCCTTGTTCACCTCAATATTTATGAACAATGTACTATATTTTAAAAAAATAGACATAGGGTAAAAAAATGTGTTCCTGTATGAGTGGAAACTAAACCCATCAAACCTGGTATCTGCTAGAACAGGGGTCCCTGGTCTGTGGCCTGGGATGGACTGGGGAGACAGATCTCCCACCCCCTGCACAGCCCCTTCATGCATGCACATGAGTGCCACCCCACCCCTTATGAGTGCGTGTGAGTGCCCCCGTCCTTTGCACATGCATGCAAGTGCCCCTGCTCTGTTGCACATGTGCACGAGTGTTCGTGCGCCTGCTCGTGGAGTTAAAAAGGTTGGGGACCACTGTGCTAGAGAATACACACAGAAGGGGCTTCTGCATCCTGTGCCTGTAGCATAAAATGAATAAACACTGTTCACTCAATACAAATAGACTATTGATGCTTTAGCAGACTAAAAGCACCTCCATGAATAGCAAGCTGCACCAGAAAAGCCCTCTGTGCTTTGCTGAAGACAAACAGCAATAGTAGAATACAGCTCCTTTTATTAAAAAAAAAAACATAAGCTTTGTGACTAACATAACCTGCCTTTGAGGTTGAAGAAAGATGCTACTACTGAAACAAAATTGTGTGAGAGAAAAAGAAGAGCTTAAATGTCATCATCAAAATCATCCCCTGTAGAAAAAAGATTTATGTACAGGGTATTTGAATTCGAGGCAGCAAGAGGATTTTTTGCAGGAATAGAGCTGGTTTCTTTGGGCAGTCTATTTAGCAGCTTTTCTTGAAGATGGGTACTACCCAAGACTGGAGATGGTTTGCTTCTTTCCATAGGTGCACCAGCTACTGTAACATGATTTTGTACTTGCTCAACTAGAATGGGTGTCTTTTGCTCCAGTGGGTGAGGCCAGTTCCGGGGGCTGGTGTCGACAGAAATGACTGCCTTTTTACCTCTTGCACCTGCACCAGATGATTGGGTTTGTGTCTCTTGCAGCATGCCACTGGAGGCACCGCCCTTACTGGATAAAAGGAATTTCTCCCACTTGGAAAGTCCAGGTCCTTTTGACCCTGCATCTTTGTTCTTTCTGTGTAGCACTTGCTCTTCAACAGCAGGACTCAACACACTTTTACAGGGAACATCTCCACAGTTTTTTGTATACAATGTGATGGAATCTGGACTGTTCTGTAATAAAATGAGAAGAAACTGATGCAAGCAGCCGGGTCAGATTACAAACAGACGAGTCAGAGGCTAATTTTTCTTTCATTTAATTTTGCTTGAGGCACATGAAGCTCTTTTTCTACTCTATCCTGTTTTGTCCTAAATCTCAATGTTTAGCTAACTCACCTGGATCATATGGGTTGATTTTTTAAAATGTGGATAATAGGAAGATCAATCTTCTGAAAGTAAATAAGAGGCATCACCAGTATATTATGCACACAAATGATGGTTCCTTCTGAGACCTAACAGTTAATATCACATCCTATTCTATCAGTAGGATAGTGGGGATAGTTAGCAAGTGTGAGCTATGCAGTGTAACCTGTAGAGCCTAGGACATTAGAATAATAATGAAAAAGGGCCAGAGGTCTTGTCATTTAATCTTACTAAAACTATTCCAAGTGATTTGCTTAGGCTTATATTATTAGAAAACCTGTAGTAATATTGAGAGCCAACGTAGAGGATTGTGTTGGACTAAGATTCAAGACACTTTAATTCAAATCCAAACGTAGCCATGGGAACTTGCTGGAGGGTGAAAATCACCTCTTAACATCTCACATGCCTGTCCAATTGCTATGCAACACATCATTAGCAGTGTGGATGTACTGATATGAGTGCAGGCTTTAACAGGGTCAACACTAATAAACAATAGATTTGCAGTGTGGTTTTATGCATGGTTACATAATTTTCTTTAGTCCAGTCCAGCTGACCCATATTTGGGGAATGGAAGTCTAAATGTGTTTATGGGCTTAATCTTAGGTTAGTGGACGTTTTCTCTTTAGTGTATCAAACGGTAGAGCTCACCTGTTTTGTGTAACTGAGTTGCAAGTTAACATACAAAAGAGCACATCAGTGTGCCCATGTTTTGAGCCTGATCTTGCTTTTCCAGGTATAATTCAAGCATAATTTTAAAAACATATTTTCACTTTGGGATGTTCTGATTTTTGAAATTTAAAAGAATATACAGTATAGGCATCTACTCGGGGGAGGGGGGAAGTCTCTTTTTACTGAATAGCTGAAGATAGGAGAGTTTTCTAAGGAGCCTTGTGGCGCAGTGGTTAAACCCCAGTTGCTCACGGCCTGCTCATGGCCTGAGTTCAATCCCGGCTAAGATAGCTGGCTCGTGATTGACCCAGCCTTCTAACCTTCCAAGGTCAGTAAATTGAGTACTCCGCTCACTTGGGGAAGGAGGCAATATGTAGCCTGAAAAATAATAAGCCACCCAGAGTATTGACTATTATCGGGTAATATGTAAGGAACACACTTTGGTTTTAAAAAAAAAGAAACTATAAACATAAATAAAAATCCACTATATAAGGAACAAAGCAAATGGTAAACAGCAGTATTAAACCTTAGATTGCAAATAGTAAACAGCAGTATTAAACCTTAGATTCTCTTTATGAAGCAGATAGCTTTGGCCTGATTCCGTAACAAATCAAGACCCTTTCACAGAAGGAGCTGCTCTTTAAGGGTATTTCTTACAGAACCATACTCCTACTGGCAAGGTTCTTGAAGAATCAGGCAAGTTATGCAGATCTTGGTACTCTCTTCTCAGTGAGACCAGAAATACAGAGTTTGGAAAGTCACTTAGTTACAGTTTTAATTCTTAAATGCAATTACTTTGAAATAAGTAGTTTGTTACTATCATAGTTATAATTCTTTAAGTAAATTCAAGTTATCCTTTTTCAAAAGAAAATGCAACAGTTACTTTGAAAAAACAACAACCAAATGCTACAAGACTCTGCCTATAGTCCAAAACACACCATAGTGAGAGGACATCCTGTGGCCATGAAAGTAAATAAAACCCAGATACAGTTATGTCATCCAAGTGTGAAAGTATCCTTTGTTACAATACAGTTATCGAAAAGCAACTCATTATTTATAACTAGTTGCTTGTAAACTGAGAAATGCAACATTGAACATAAAAGGAAACATAATGCAATTAAAATAAAAATAAAATTAAAATCCTTGGAAAAAAACATTACCTCAAAGCTTTTGACATTGTCTGCAAATCCAGAAACACTCTGTTCCATCTGTCCCTGGCCATCAATAATACATAAACTGGTCTTCTTGCGCTTCCTGGGAGGTACAATAAAGATAAGAGATAATCCAGTCTAATCACACAACCTCCCCCACCCCCTTAAGAAAGAAAGCAAGTAACTTCAATGAATGTTGTCATCATACTGTATCTTCATTTGACACATTCACCAGACAGGATACCGTGAGTTGAGGTATCATAGGCAGATCATGCACATCACCTTGGATGTTTTGCTGTTTTTTCCCTGGAAGAACAGATCTGCTGCTTCTCTGTGAGCACCATTTCTTCCTCTACAACTTCCTTTTCTTGCTCTTCACACCTTTCATCCAGATATTTAGTCCAACGGCTCACGGACTCAAACCTTTTGTCCTAGAACATTAAAGAATATGTCAGATATTTTTGATGCCTTCCAAAACTCAGAACAACTCATTTTTCCCTTCAGTTATCTATTTCCATAAGAGTGAAAGAATTAACTAAGATGTAGGCCTCTGTGCATTGTTATCATTGATAATATCACTACAGTGCTGTACCCAGGTAATCCCAAATTTTGTACCAAGAAAATAAGAATTCTGTCATTGTGTAAACTGCACAGATGGGACAAATTCATTCTGGTTTTGTTTGCCTAAAGGGGAGATAAAGAGTTACCCAGGATACCCAAAGCTTTTTAAAGCACCTCTCAGATTTCAAAATCTCAGTCAACACTTCATGTGCATATTCAAGTCTATCTCCATAGCTTAAGGGCTAGAAACTTTTAAAATGAAATTGGAAATGTTTGGCTTAGTTCTAAGCCCAATACAGTACCATGTTCCATGCTTGTTCTGTTATTTTATGGAACTGTGATTTACACATGATTCTGGTAATATGAAATTTGCTTCAGGAGGAAAATAGTCCCTCCTGAACAAGAGAAAATTTTATTTTTTTTAGTTGCATACAGACATGAACTGCCCATTTGTAAGCTCAGATCCCACATAGCTTTCCAGCAGTTTCCATAGCAACTTAGAATGCTGTCAACTATACTGTCATTATCTTCTTTGCTTGGTTTAATGGATTATGATGGGTTATTCTTTAGCTTTAATGATGCTCTTTACTTAATCCAAAGAGGTTTACCTGCCAGTCCATTTTTTCTTCCAAGTTAACAACAGTATTCTCATTCCCTATCTGTACTGGTTCTTCTATGCATCTAAAAAATAAACACATTGTTAGGCAAATATGTAACTGTAAATCTGTGTGTTTATACACAACTGTTGTGGATTAACACAAGCTATCTGCCAGCACACAGAACGTAATGTCTTTCAAATTAAAGTTTTCATCTGATCTGTTTAGTTAATTACGTTTTGTTTGGAATTTATTATTCTTGCTCATCTTTAGCAACATTTTTGGCAAAAAGGCAGGCTGTATGCTTATTTAATAAATAAGCTGTGAAGTATCAGGTATGGGGTATGCAGGACAATGACTGACTGGTATGGTGTTCAAGCAGCTCCATGTGCAGAAGGCTGATGCTGTGGATGGAGCTATGCAAACAGCATTCCAGATTTCTGTTGGAAAATACGACTAAATGAACTTGAGTTTTTTATAAGGCAACAAACGAAATTATTTTATGTTTGTAATGAAAAATGATCAATGTTAAATGGTGTGCAAGAAATCCTGCTAGAAAAGAAAAGAGCCTCTCAACAAAAAAAGGTTTGGATCCTGGTTTAAATTAATGCTTAAGGAACATATTAAAGAACGTTCTGATCAACAGCTGCATTCCTCCATCACAAGGCAATATGTTATCTCTAGGGACAGAGTGTTTTAGCAGTTATTAAATCTCTTTCCACAGAAGCAAATTACAGTATGTTTCTAACAAGATGTAAAGAACTTGGAAAAGTTTACCAATGTGAACTAGAACTCAGCATTAGAAACATAATTTCATTCTCCACAGCACAGACTGCCTGTCCTCTGAAGATGCCGGCCACAGAGACTGGCGAAACGTTAGAAAGAACAACCTTCAGAACATGGCCAAAGAACCCGAAAAACCCACAACAACCATAATTTTATTCTGCCAAATATTTGTTCTTCAATAAGGGCAATTGAAAAATGGTTGCATATTTAAATTAAAATGCTCTGGACAATGTTCTGTGGCATTATTCAGTTGCATATGTGTTCAGTTCATATAGGCTCCTCTGCTTGCTTGGACCTGCAGTGTAAGCAAGACTGGTTGTGCAACTGGTTGCACAAGAGGAGACCTGACAGAGTGGTGAAATGCTTAAGCAATTGCCCTTCTGCACAGAATATTGGCCATAACATTTCAAATCACTGGCCAGAATCTTACTGGTGTTTGCATAAGGCTTGTATAACTTGCTGCAGCTAATTGTTCTAATTAATAAAGTACCAGAGCCCTTCCCATTTGCATGCCTAGTTACATGCCAAACTGTGCAATGAAGAGTTTGCAAAATTTCCAGTGAACATGAATAAGTTTTTGGCCATTGTATTCAAATTTCTAATGAAAAAGCATATACAAACAAACAGTTACCATATTTTTTCGTGTATTAGCCATTTACTGTACTAAGCTCCACAGGGCTTAGAAAGTGGGAAAGGCAGCTGGGAAAGGGCGCGAGGATCAAAGGGGTGCACACGCGCTGCCCTCAAATTTTCTAATTTGGGTGTTAGAAAAGGGGGGGTAGTCTTATACTGTGGGTCGTCTTGTAAACGGAAAAAATATGGTAGTCAATTTAATACCATACCTTGGTATATTCATAGGTGTTTGTTCTCTGTCTCTCTGCAACAAGTTTAGTTTTTGCACATGGTGCCTGCAATCAGATCCAGAACCTTGGCCAAAAACCTAAAGAAATTTAATTAATCAGTTGTCTCCTCACAGTTCTTTCATATTACTTCATCAATTAAACAGCACCACAACTACATCTCAATAACTCTCATTCCATGGACATTCCTTTAAGGTTTTGGTCTTTAATTTGGTATCCATACGATATTTTCCTTTCCTTTTTTCAGTTCAAGTTGTAGTATAGACTAGATTAACACTCCACACTTGAACAGAGGAATAATATTATCAAACTCAAAATTATTAGCATTCTTTATAACCAATATTTTGCTCAAATAATAAGAATTAATAGAGTGGCTGTCTTTGCTTTTTCATGTCTTGAAAAAGACATGTTTTGCAGTGACCTTTTTCACAGTACTGTATTAACCTATTTAAATTATATATATATAAAATTAAGACATCTACTGTCCCAGAAAAAGCATAAACACTCCACTTATTTTTCATATACGTCTCCCTAGATTATGTAAGGAAACTCATTCTGCAAACTATGAAGAGGAGTGAATTCAACACAATTTCTGTTTGAAATTAATTTCTCTAATTGACTGTTAACCTTTAACAGTGCAATAGTATACAGATCTCCACAGATGAATGCCCACTGATTTCAGTGTAGCTTACTCTCCGCTTGGTGTGTACAGGATTAGCACTTGAGACACCAAAGGGGGAAAAAAGTCCTCCTAATAGCAAATCCTTCTAATGACACTATTGACCTTAATAAAGAATCTCTCAGTACTCACCTTCAACACTGATTGCTTTTCATTGCATATTTTGCAATTCCATTTTTTGCTCTTTTTAACCTGAGACAGAATTATAGGTAGAAATGTTCAATTACCTGCATAGTCAGGAGTAGACCACATGCAAGATAAGTCAAGCACTCACTGTCTACAGTGCACTCACTCAAGCACTCACTGAGCATGTGAAAAGGAACCAGACAGTTTCCAAACTAGATACTCCAGTTAGTCTTAAACAGAAATATAAAATATAATTGCAAGCAGGAAGAATCACTCAAAAAATTCATCAGATGACAAATTTTCATGAGCTATAATATTTTAACCCTTTGTAATCAGAAAGGGGATTGAAGGGGGAAATCCTTTAATCATAAAAAAACTATGTGGGCTCAACACATATTTAGGATTTTGTGACGGAGACACATTCCTCATTCTCAGGTGTCTAATTACCTTTAGGTACAGCACAGTCAGCTCCACATGAATGGAAACATGCATAAACCAGGTAAATTTCATATGTGTATGTATGATTCTTTGCTCAGTAAAGACATCTTCCCTTTTCCAAAAGGTATCAAATAATCATACTGATTAGGTAAACTATGTGCACCTTTTTAAACACATAGCTACCTGGATCACAGAGCACCTATTTGTATACAAACAGACCTGAGTAAATTGCTAACACTCTTGAAGCCCCATCTCAGCACCACCAACCATTCAAAGGATCTTAGGCCAAATGTCTGAACTAGGTTTTCATTTCAGAATCTAGTAAGATACCAAGTGTTAACACTGGTTTCACCACAAATTGGATTTTTAGTTTAAAGAATTAATTTAAAGAATGAATGTTGACTTCATTCGGGGGGGGGGATTCCTCAAGACAATACCCCACACACAAACACTTCTTTTAAGCAACATTCTTAGTGCTTTCTTCACATTTCGCAGGCCCATAATTTGGGTGTGTGTGTGTGTGTCTTAATTACAATGCTACTATACAATGCTACTATACTGCTCCTTCACATTGACACTCTTTCCTTTAAAATAGAGATTGGAAACCCACAGTCTAGATCCTACTAATCCTAGGTATTGATGCGGAAAAACAGCATGTGAAGCAGAGATTCCTCCAGGGTTCCTCGTTAGGAACAAATAGCAGCTGCCCCTTTCTCCAGAACTTCCCACTTCCACAAAAATAAGGCGGGTTGTCTCCTCGTTTCAGGCCACACTGCTCATTGAGGCCGCTCCATCCCCCACCCGGACCCCTCCCCACCCCATATTACGGGAACAGAACGACCTCTCTCAGTCGAGCGCCTTTCCGGACGAAGCCCTTCCGCCAACCCAAAGGCCATTCCCCGGGGCTGCGGGCTAATTCGGATACAGCCACAAACTTGGGCAGAGCCGGCTCCCCCCCCTCCCGGCTCGTTCACCTGGGAAAACGACGCCCCAGAGAGCTCGGGCTTACACACCTCCACAGACGGACAGGTTTGCCTCACCTGCTGGACCTGGAAGACGTGACAGGAGCAGCACCTCAGCACCTGGAATTGCTGAGCCATCCCGCCCGCTCCCTCCTTCCCTCCCTCGGAGTTGAGGAGCGTGTAAGGCTCACTCTCACCCCGTGTGTGTGTGTGTGTGTGTGTAAGGGGGGGGGGTGGCAAGACGAGGATCTCCTCTCCTGGGGACGAGAAGACCCCCGCCGGCGAAGAGTGAAGCCGTTCCGCTCTGCAACCGCTTTTTGAATGGCTTCACGCGAAAAGATTTGGCGGGAAGGCGTTCATGACGCGCAAGCAGCCTCTTGCTCCTTTTCCTCCTTCGGGCGTCTTTTATTGGGCGACCCGGACCCGGGGGTTGTCCGGAAGTGCCGACACGGGTTGCGGGAGGGACTCAGACGTCCCTTGAGAACCCCGCCAGAAAGAAACACACAAGAGGGCTGTAAGGAAAGAGAAGTCTTTTCCTCTGCGGCGCAGGTTTCGTGATTTTGTTTTTGAAGCCTGCGCTGTTTATCGCTGAAGGGGAAAGAAAGAAGCTGACAGAAGACAGTGAGAATTTCAGAATGTCGTCGTTGCAAGGATTTAGCAGCATCCTGGAGACTGGGATGAAAAGAGGACCGAGATTATGTTATGGCAACCTAAAGCAACCCACAATGGTGGGGTAGGCATAGAGTCTTGCTCCATTCAGTTGCGGGCAAACATGCTGCAGTCCCGTCATAATTCATGGCTACAAAAACCCCTTTCTCTGTATTAGAAAGCAGGGGATGTGTGGCAGCGGAGTGTCCTTGCTAATCTGTTGCATCACAACAACAGCGGATGTTGTAGCCTGTTAAAGCCTGTTGAACTTCTGATGATTTGGAAGTTCAGCAGTGAAGTGGACACTCCACTGGAATTTTTAAACAGAGGTTAGATACCCTGTTCCCCCCGAAAATACAGTAAGACCTAACCTGAAAATAAGCCCTAGTATGATTTTTCAGGATGCTTGTAATATAAGCCCTACCCCCAAAATAAGCCCCACTTAAGTGAACCCCTGCCCTCCACCATTGTGCAGCCACCAGAAGAAGATAACATGACTGCCTTTGAATAAATGTAGATTGCTGTACATGAAAAAATTAAGACATCCCCTGAAAATAAGCCCTAGTGCATTTTTGGAGCAAAAATTAATATAAAACCCTGTCTTATTTTGGGGGAAACGGTAGTCATCTGTCAGGGATACTTTAGCAGTGGATTTCTTGTTTATCAGGGCATTGGACTTGATGATATTTAGCTCTACAACTTTGTTAGGTCAGTGAGTTGGATTCTTGGCTACAAAGTCAGAGGTCAAGAGTTCAATTTCCCATCCTGTCTCCCTAGATCAAGCCTGTGTAGCCTTGGGGAAACTGCTCTGTCCCAGAGCGGTTTAGTGTCACCAGTATGTGGATGACACGCAAATCTATCCTTTCCATCTAAATCCAAAGAAGTAGTTTTGATTCTAAATTGGTGTCTGGTACCAGTGATGACTAGATGAGGGTAAATAAACTAAAACAATATGGACAAGAAAGAGATGCTCCTGGTTAGTTGAAAGGCATCCAGCCTGTGGGATTACACTCTCCCTGAAAACATAGGTGCACTGCTTGGGTATACTCTTGGATTCATCTCTGAGTCTGGAGGCTCAGGCTTCAGTGGTGGCCAGGGGTGCACTTGCACAGTTAAAACTAGTGTGTCAGCTGTGCCTGTTCTTTGGGATTTCTAGCCATTGTCACACTTGTTTTAGTTACCTGCCAACTGGATTACTATAACACACTCTTGTGTGTGGGCTGCCTTTGGAAAGGGTTCAGAAACTTCAGTGGGCCCAAAATGCTGCAGCCAGATTAGGCTGATCACATAGCCACACCTTGCTACACCAGCTCCATTGGCTGCCAGTCTGTTTCCAGGTATAATTATACTTTACTATCCTTCCCCAAGCAGACAAAAACCTTTCTCATTGGGGAGGCTTTTAGTGCTGGCTGTCTAAGAGGGAGGTTCTTCACTGTACTTTTAGAACTGTTTTTACCTGCAGGTAAAGCTTCTTGGGCCTTTATTTCCTGTTGATTGGTAGAAAAAGAAAAAGCTGCCGTTGTGCTTCCTGGGAGTCATAGTTTCATTGTACATTAAGCTCTATAGAGCAGCGGTCCCCAACCTTTTCCAAACCGTGGACTGGTTGGGGGGTGAGGTCTGTGCGCGGCGGGCACCCCCTGCTCGTGGCTGGGTGTGGTGTGCATGTGTGGGTGAGCGTGGTGCCCTCGTGGGTGGGCGTGGCCCGCACACACGTGCAGATGGTGTGGCATGCTTGTGGGTGAGCGGTACACTCAGGCATGCATGGGTGAGCATGATGTGCTCATGGGTGGGCGTGGTGCGCATGGGCGTGCTGTGCGTGCATGTTGGCGTGTGTCTGGGGTGTGTGTGCGGGAGGGGGAGATCAGTCTCTGCGGCCTGGTCCTGTGAAGGCCACAGACCATCAGAGGGCTGCGGACTGGGAGTGGAGGACCCCTGCTATAGAAGGTCTCTCCCAAAGAACTGTAACTCCCAGAAAGTACCAGAGCAGCTTTAATTTTTTTAAATAAAACAACAGGAAGGAAATGTCCAAGAAGCAGATGGAGCAGGCAAATAAACCAAAAGCCCCTCTCTAGGGGGCAAACCTATGTTTGTTATATGTGGGCTACAGTTCCTGGAATTCTTGAACATGAAAGAGCACAGTCCAATACAGTAGATGGAGATGTTTCCAGCAAGCTCCGATGAACTTAAAGAAAAGGGTCATTTATGCTGTAGCTATGCCCAAAACTAGGTAAAATCAGATTCTACATATAGTGTGCAAATACAGTAATCCCTGGTTATTCTATCTATAAACAGGATGCCCATGTAACCAGTAATGTGAATGTTCATTGCTTGTACAGTATTAATAATGCCATCACTTTGAAAAGAAGGCAATTCTCGCCTCCCCCCCCCGTGACCATGTAGTTACATTACTATAAACATTATGCTCTATGTTTCTAAGGAAGTGGATTGTAAAACATTAACGTTTACACTGAAAGAAATCCCTAAGTCTCAGTGTCATAATATTTTGTGTTCTTGTTACTCTCTGTAATAACTGACACATTCAGTACCCTGTCATGTCTATATACAGACGATATATACAGTAGATTGTCATTTTCACATTTTTTCTGTCATAAATGCTGAAACAGATTAACATTGCTATGCCTTTGAAAATTGCTATAGAGGAGCAATTCTATGCTTATTTTGAACATTTTTGGCACACAAAGACATAGGCAGAAAATGAGTGAACTTGGATGTCTCTGGGCATTTTAAAAGAAAAAAAAGCAGTTCAGATCTGGATTGCGTAGATCCTGAAAGTTAACGCATGGAAACTTTTAAAAACAACTATACATTTCAGTCACTCTTAGGTTTTTCATTTGACTTATGAATAAAAAAATGCAAGAACAGACTTAGCTAACATTTCTGAAAATTAAGAGTGCCAACTTCTGATTGCTCAGGTTCTGAGACTTTGTAGGCATGGACACAACCTACAGAGGTGCAGCTGAGCGCATATTTATTTATTTAACTTATATGCTGCCCACACTACCCAAAGGTCTCTGGGTGGCTTATAACAATTTAAATACAATTAAAAGATAAAACAATTAAATTCGCAGGTAGTCTATGAGAATCCAGCCTTTAAACAGTAGGTGGGCCTAGCTGATATTACCAATCTAATGATTGTCATTAGGAATGCAGATGTTAGAGTGTAGCACTATTAATTAGTACTAGCCATTTTGGTATATTTATTTAACATAATTAGACATTGATCTAATGGTGTACTGTACATTGCCAAGGACTTGATCTGGTATGGTAAATCAAACTGCATAAACCTAAACTGAAGTACTGTATCTTGATGCATATTATAACTGAAAATGCATGTACAGGGAGAAATGGGAGAAACTGCCATAAATGTGTAGCTGATACTAATTTGCTATGCAGGCTTTAAGTGTCTTCTGTCAAGATTGCAGGTGAAGCTGTAATTTTTTATCACAATTTAAACCACACTATTCATCACGTGGTGGCGCTGTGGGCTAAACCACAGAAGCCTGTGCTGCAGGGTCAGAAGACCAAGCAGCTGTAAGATCGAATCCGCGCTTGTCCCAGCTCCTGTCGCTTGTCCCAGCTCCCGCCAACCTAGCGGTTCGAAAGCATGCAAATGCAAGTAGATCAATAGGGACCACCTTGGTGGGAAGGTAACAGCGTTCTGTGTCTAGGCTGCACTGGCCATGTGACCATGGAAGATTGTCTTCGGACAAAACACTGACTCTACGGCTTGGAAACGGGGATGAGCACTGCCCCCTAGAGTCGAACACGACTGGACAAAAATTGTCAAGGGGAACCTTTACCTTTACCTTATTCATCTCTTGGGAGATGGAAGCAATGAACCTGCTAGCTAGAGGAAAGGATGCCGATGCCAGTTATGCATGCTGTGTTGATGTCACTGCCCAAGAGGCAGAGGAGTGGAGCACAGGTGTATGACAGAGAAAAAAAGAGAACATATTCTTATATGAAGAATAGCATTTTTGTCTCCGATATGAACTTATATTTATATTCAAAAGAGAACAAGGAAAGGGGAGAAAAAAGAGAGAGAGCAAGGAAAGGAGCCAAGCTTTGTCCTGATCACATGATCTATTCCTTTTAAGAATCCTCCCCAAGGGCTCTTGCTAACCATGTGAAACATGAGTTATCTCTGACAGAATTGTATTTTCATAGGTTATTCTGAAAATAAAATAAAGCAACAGTACATCTATAGCTATATATCATTCTGGTCATTTTATTGAATACTTACGTGATCAAGCAGACAAAAATGATGTAAAATCACATGGATTTGTATCTTTTAAAAGTACAATAAATTACGGGAGAATTAGTAAAAGTGAGTTTCTGTTGCTCACTTTCTGGGTGCAGGTAATGAGGAGGCAGAGACTTGAACACTGATAATGTGCCACACAATCAAAATAACACACTGGATTGCACCAAGAGATGCATCCCCTGTGTACATCTACTCAAATTTCTTCAGACTTTTTTCTTTCTAAACCAACAATGACACTCGTACTCATTGTACCACATTAGCATTCACACAGATTCAATTACCTTCATGTGAATGAATAATACACTTGTGTAATGAACATGTATACAAATATAAACAAATAAAATAATGATTTTGGAGAGTAAAGAAGTTCCCATAGGGAAGCTACCAATCCCAAAATGGGGCTCCAATTTTCCTCTGGTCCACCACTGATTTGCAGAGGGCAGGTCCCATAACTGTACATTCTGTACAGCTACAATACAAGATGGTCTAAACATCACATAATGTTAAAGCATGTTACAGAAACTGAATTGTAGTACGACAGTGAGACCCCTATGATGCACAACATTTGAACCATGATGTAGTCAGCAGATTAGTTGATTCAGGTAAACAGGACACATGATTAATCAAACTAGACCAACCCTAAACTGTGTGCATATCCGCATTAGGCTGTGGAGGTACAGCTAAGTCTAGCACATAAAAAACCCAACACCTATAGACTGACTTCTGATCATGGTGAGGAACAGATCAATTAGGCAAAATCTCCAATGATGCAACCGTTTAAAGGTAACTAGTGGACTGGAATATTAGCTTAAGAGTCTTCTCATTAATATCTTCAAATTCCAAATATACTGAGATTCTCTTAGAGCCATTGTACCATGTACAATTATGAAGAATGTAATTACACTTAGAGTTGCAAGAGTTATCACTGCCTCTTGAGTCTCAATATTGTTACATTTAACTCATGTTATGCCCAGTATCCATGGGTACTGCAATCCTCAGTGCTTCTTTCTGGGAAATTAAAACAACTGCATGGCATTGATGAATTAAAACTGGCCTAAGTGGTATTAGTATGCATGTTAACTCAGGTTTTGAAAAATCACATGCTTAGGGATCACTTGGCATAAAAACTATCCTAAGATCCTGGTGCATTCTGGCTGTAAGTTGTCAAGAACAAGAGAATACAACATCTTTACATATGAGACGTTACTGCATAGCATCTAGATTCCTAACAAGATTCTCTTAGGCAGACGGGATCTCTAGAGCATGTTAATATATTGGGTTGCAGAGCAGCGGCCAAAAGACTGAAGAGGAAAAAATTCAAGCTGGGCTGCGTTCCTGTGAATAACTACAGAGGAATCTAAAACATATGAAATTATCACATAGTGTGACTGAAATGTAGCTTCACTAAAGAAAGAAAAAAAAGACAAAGGCACACATGCATAATTTACTGCAGTAATTATAGGCCGCAGAGGCTATTAGCTTCTAGGCTTTCATGCTTTTGAGAATGTAATGCAAACCAAGCAAACAAGGTGTCCTCCAGAGAGATAACCATGTCAAAGAGTCACAGTGATAAACCCTTTACTCTGCTGAAGCTACTTTAATTAATGGGTAGTTATAGGTGCTAGTTAAAAAAACAAACAAAAGAAAAAATTGCCCAGACATTTGCTAGGTTTTAAACCTCCAGCCTCTAGTACCAAAGTTTTGCTTTATTCTCTTGAATTCAACCTGACACTGTGGAAAGTTCATAATCACTGGAGGAACTGAACTGCCTTTCCACTTTCTTTTGTTCCTTGATCTTTTGTGTAATGTCAACTTTCTTTTCAAAGTAGTTTACTAGGACTGTCTCCGTAAGTATGGAAGCTAAGATCTGTTCAAAGGAGATGGACCAGTCTGTGTCAATGGTGCTGCCGTATCGTGCAGCTGAACTGCCTGCCTCACAACCAACCAGCACTGTATCATCTGCAATATCTTCACACTGAAGGGAACCTGTGCTGACCATAGAGTACGAAGACATGGACATATCGTCTTTAGTTTCATCATCTGAAAACAGCTGAATGGGGGATCCTGGACCCTCACCACCTCCATCCACAAACATCTGATTTTCTTGTTGGTGTTTTTCAGCTTGAACATCTCCAGAAGCTTTGTCTTCTGGAACAACTTGGGAATGCTGCTCCACAGTTGAATTCTGACTCTCATCAGACGTTGGAGACTCTGCTTCACCAACTGGGTCCTGAGTGCTGTTTGCTTTGAGATCATCAGCCTTCTTAACCGGGTGGTGGGAAAACTTTTTTCCTACTTCCCCAATGCGCAGGAGGAGGCTGGCAACGGTGGCAATGGCGTGGTACAGGTCTTGCTCTACAGGATCTTCACTAAACATGTTGTAAAGTGTCTTGCATAGCTCTATAAATTGCTCCTTAAAAAGAGAGATGCATGTTATGGTAAGTGCTAAGTATCTAGATGCAAAATCTTCAGCCCAGCAATTATATAAAATAACAAGCTAGCAGTGAAGACAAGGGTTAGTAAGAGGAATTAAGTTTTCTTAGAGGGCTGTAAGACAGCACAGAATATTTAAGAACTCTGTGCTCTGTAATGTCTCCCACCACTGCCAAGGTGATTTGTTTAATTAGAAAATTGCCACTAAGAGGCTTAAGGCAAACTATGTCTGCAAAGGAAATAGAAATTATGGTACCAAAACATTCACTGGATGAAAGAACTAGGGGAAAATATGGGGGGGGGGGGGAGAGAGAGAGAGAACAGGAATGCTGCAAACAGCGGAAAAGGCGAAAGCACCCTGTGGTGGGGAGCTTTAAGGCTAGCAAAGGTGATATATGCTGCTGTGGTCTGGCAGGCAGTCCATTAAAAAAGTTATTACATCTTTCTCATCTCTGCTCTCCAAATCTTTCTCCAAGTTGAGGTGTAAGAGAAGCATTTGCTAATTCTTCAGTTCTGCAGTCTGATGCTCTACTTGGTCCTCAGCAAACCCTCCTGAACTTTCTTGACAGATCAAGGCGAGAACTGCTGAGTCTCCATCCTTAGAGAAGTCCTCCTCCAAGGGTGGAGAGGGTTATCAGCCAGTAAAAGTTAACCAAGTTTAATCTGGCTTCAGATTAATAATTAATCTGCTATGATTAACTAAAAAAATAGAAGTAAATGGAAGTTAAGGTTTCCAGTTTCTTAATAACCATGTACGTGTAGATGGGCATGAACCCAAGAGTCATGTGTGCAACATGAAACCATGGATGGTTTGGTATTATGTCTAAATCAAACCACATCTTACCATAATTTTTTTTTTGGGGGGGGTGTCTTTGTGTGTGTATGTGTTAGTTTTAGTGTGCCTAGTATAGCAGTCATAAGCCACCACTTTTATATAGCTTCAAACACATAACACCCCCCCCACAGACACACAGAATACAGCCTCTACAGAAAAAAACCCTAGAGAGATAAGATGTTCTAAACCTTGCCCTTTGTGGTTGCAATACTGGAATTGATTTGAGCACTGTGATGTGATTATCATGCACTGAAAGCAGATTTACCCAAATCAAAGCTGATACACATAGACAGTACACAATAAATATGTATTGAATCTGAATTCTCGCTTGACCTCAGAATTGTTTCCAAAGAAACAGAAAATGGGTGGCAATGCACTGCCTTACCTGAACACTGAAATATCAGAGAGAACATCTGATATGGTTCTCCGTTTGAAGGCAAAACACTACTCTGATTCCCACAGCCATTTCTGGATACAAAAATATATCATAATGTGATATCTGAAATAAGGCCTTAAAAGCTTGCAGGGTGTAATCAGATGGGGATCTGGTCCCACTGTTTGGTCCAGTCCAGGGATGGGCTGGTATGTTTTTTTCCCTAGTGACCACATAACATAAATGGCACTGCAAACCAGCCCATCCCCAATGCATACCTCCCTGCAACATTTGGGTCTTTACTAGGAGCCACTTTTTTGGTGTGGGTAGTATTGCTCTGCTTCAGTTTGTTTCCAATATGTCCTGTGCGATCACTGGGATCGAACCAAAGCAAATGTATTAATCTGTCTATTCAAGACATGATCTTGGGACACAGAAGACTTCCTTCTGTTCCTCCGTGGAGAGAGCGGAAATAAAGTTTTTAAATTTGTTTTTTAAAAGCCTTAAAAAAAAAACCCTGAAAGTTTCCTCCTGGAAGGAGAAGATGACAGGGAGGGAACAAGGGAGGATCTCCCCCCACCTTTCCCCCTTGACAAGGAGGAAAAGTCCAAATGAGATCACTTGAGGTGCAGTCTGGTTTTCTCACCACTACCACTAAATGACATACCACACCTCTATGTGACCTTAAGAAACCCTATTTAGCTCAATCCAGCCTGCTCCAATCTGGACATCTAGCTGCGCCCTTAGCCTGTGAACTACTACAACAGTGTTCTTTCTACACAGTGCTAAATTGTCTGAAGATGACAACAGTGTTGGCCATTCTATGCCTCTCCTATTTTTCTGCTCTTCTAGTTTTACTGTACAGTACATTATTATCTGGAAGGAGTCAGAGCTGAACTCAGGCCATGAAAAATAAATTATAATAGTAAAAGACATGTTCCTGTTCTGAAACAATAGGTATTTCAGTGAAATATTTTTAAATGTAAAGCAAACGTTGAAATAAATTCCCACCTGACTCATTTTTGGAAGATCTTTGATAGTTTCCTTTTTGGAATCTTTTTCCTTTGCCCACATTCGCAGGTGGTATCTGTAATCTTGGGGGCTAGTACCCTTCTCTTCTGCAAGATGACATAACAAAGGGAAACATTTAAAAATATGCATATTCCTGAATGCTGATGAACCTGACACACATTATGAGAATCCTTTCCAGAGGACACCCCTTTAAAAACTTTATCCAAGCCAGCAGATGCTTACTACTATGCAACACTGCACTAGAAATAAAGCAAACTTTCTCAGGATTTTAGTGTTACAGCCTGGAGGTTAAAATTATCACTTCCATCTACAACGGATACGTGTATTCTAATTGTGGCATTTCACTCAATCCAAAAAAAGGTGCTTTGAATTTTGGAACTAAAGCAGCTTACAGTTCTGGGAGAATGTGTTCTTCATTAATCACACAAGTAAGAGAATACTACTGTGCGTGTATGTGTCAACAGAAACACAGTTTCATTACCTTGGTTTTTGGAGTTCCCTTCTCTTGCTGCTTTGTCTTCTTCTACAGTTGCTTCTACTAAAACAAAGACATTAAAGAACAGTGCATGAAATACAAGGCAAACAAAGAGCCTACACTAACACGGGAAACAATAAAGTATATAGAACCAAACAAAGCAAGGGGTGAGTCTGTAATTTGAGCAATGAGCCTATTGAAGATGCAACGCTCATCATGTTTTATTTAAACACATCCTGCAATCAAGCTACATACAGAGGAACTAATTCTGTGTGACTATCATAGAAGAAAGCTATAGAAAATTGCTGATTAGTTGCAGGACTAGTGATAATACTAACTTACTTTCCTCTATTGGAAACAGTCTTTCAGCCTTTAAAAACACTGAGTTTAACCTTTTTCCTGTAGGTTTTAAAAAGAGAGAGGCTAAATATAGCCCCAATTGAATATAAATGTTAAGCAGCATACATTGAACATGCCCCTGTTTAGTTGCAGTCCCTTCGGTCACACTCACAAATTATTTTTTGTGTAAAAAAAGGAGAATCACTAGCCCTCATCAGTCTTCAGGACCAGCAATTTTCCTTTACAAAAAAATGATCACACATTTCACCTTGTTCTGCCCAAAGGAGGACTGACTCAGAAAATAGCATAGCTGGTACATTAAGCAAAGTTGTGCAAAGGTGCCCTTCATCACTGCTGCCAAATAGGAATCCAGGAACAGTGCAGAGTGCGGAGGTATTCTCACACTACAAACCTGACCGTCAGGAGAAGCATAACCTCTTCTAAAATAGGTTGAAACTCAGTTCCCAAATCTGATTTTCCACTGATTTATTTAATGTAATGTAATGTAATGTAATTTATTTATTTTATACCCCGCCTATCTGGTCATTTTGACCTCAAATAACCCATTTTATCAGCGTGTAATTTCACCTTGTTAACCCTAATCCAGCCCACTACTGAGCGCAGACAAAACTCAATGGTCAAGGACTGGTCCCAATACAGTGATATTTATAATTACAGTGGTGCCCCACTAGATGATTACCTCGCAAAATGGTTAATTCACTAGACGATGAGTTTTTTGCGATCACTATAGCGCTTCGCAAAACGGTGTTTCCTATGGGCGATTTTCGCTGGACGGTGTTTCAGTCCGTGCTTCGAAAGACGGGTTTTTTTGGGGACCGTTTTTCGCAACACGATTTTGACAGCTGGTCTACGACTCACAAAACAGGTGTTTTCGGGACCGTTTTTCACAAGACAGCGATTTTGACAGCTGATCTGCACTTCACAAAACGGTTTTCCTATGGGCAATTTTCGCATAATGACGATGATTTTTCCCCATTGGAACACATTAAATGGATTTCAATGCATTCCAATGGGGAACTGCATTTTGCAAGACGATATTTTCGCAAAACAGCGATTTTTGTGGAATGAATTAACATTGTTTTGCCGGGCACCACTGTAATTAACCAAAGATTTATGCCAATAAACTTACATTACCAGGCATAAGTGATAGGATTCTGGCCATTATATGAATATAATAATATATTTTGTACAAAAATGCATTGGCAAAATTGATCACAGTTTAAGAAAACAAAATATTATATCTGTCTGCTGTATCATAGTAGCAGCACTAGAGAACTGTATTAAAATAAGTAATTTTATATAGGCTTCTCTTACATTTGATAGACAGATATGTTTAGCACTCCATTAGTGGCCCAACTTTGTAAAGGCAATAGAACTAACCTTGAGAATCACACTGCAGGAAGAGATCCAGTTCTGAGACAAAAGGAGATACTAGAGAGGGAAAGAGAAGAAAAACAAAAAGAAAGAGAAGCTTTGAAGGCAAGGGAGAAACTCAAGACAGAATGAGAGCGTGAGTCAAAATACAAAGCAAATTAGGTGGAAGAGGAAAATAAAAAAACAGAAATAAGGTTACAAGATTTGTGCAGATTACAAGATTAGGCAGGAAGTACAGCCTGATGGGAATATGTAGTATCAAGACTTTATATATAAATACTCAAATAGGAAATGAACCTGAGTGAAGGAATTATCTTTTCTTAAAAGAATTGTGTCCTAGAAATGCTCTAGTCAGTTACAGATTCTAGGAAGATGGGCTGTTTCAATTCCTATTTGAGTCTTCATTCCTTCAGCCGATGAGACCAGTCATTATTACCTTCTGTGGTGTTGTCCTCTGTGAAATACGTTGCAGCCTCTAGAGCAGATTCTGCTTCCTCTGAGCTCAGAGCTATAGGGAGAGAAAAAAGCACTAAACCATGAATCTGCTTTCCCCAATATGGGGCCCTCCAAAATTTAGAGTTACAACTCACAACATTCCTAATCACTGAGCATGATGGCTATGGCTGATGAGAGTTGTAATCTGAAATACCTGAAAGGTACAGGTTGACTGCTATTACTACTGCTATTATCACTGATCATTTAATGTACAGTATACCTTGGCAGTATCCTGTTTATGTCAGTGTAAAATAAAGTTATGTCAGCATAAATGTGTCAAGCATTAAACCCAGCAACAAGGAATTGCACCATGCACTTGTTCTGTACCACAAATCTGATGTCTTTCCTTCTAGTGGAACTCTGGGATTCTGCAACTTGTCTGAGGTCGAACAGATGGCAGGGCATGTAATCCTTTCAGCACAGAGACTTTGGGTGATCTTAGTTGACATCTCTCTCAGGAGGCACAGTGAGGATTCAAACCTCTGGCTCCTGGGCTCTTCAGCCGGTTACTTCTACCCACAGAGCTATACCAGCACCTCTTTTATGATTTGTGTAATGTTTTTGAAACAGCATATAAACGTTCATAACAGCTTGCAAATCCTACATCCCTATCAACTAATGTTTGAAAGAAAGGAGTGGTTCACCTGGAGGTAGATGTAGTTTGTAAAGAAGTTTTAGCTTCTCAGTCAGATCACCATGATACATGCCACCTGTTAGGAACAGCAAGGAAGAGAAAGAACACTTTGCATTAGGAATGACTGCTTGCCTGCCAACCTTTTTTTCCTGGTGAGACTTTCAGACATAACAGCTTAACATGCAGAAGACATTTAGCACATGAACCTTTCCCTATCCTCATAGGAATAACTTCTGCATGCCATCTGAAAGTTTATTATGTTTTCCTTCACAACTGCTATTAGAGATAGGTTGTGTCACTGTTCTAATTTAAGAAATACAAAGAGCTGAGGTTGAGAAATACCCAAAGTCACAAAGTGAGTCCGTAGCAAACATGAGGTTCGAATCTGACCAGTGATCTAAACTACAATGATTCAAGCTTTGACTGGTGAGATTTAGCTTGTAGTATGCAAGAAAGCCATGGGCCACTTTGGATGGTAATTCTAACCAGAGAATTTGAGTTAGAATCAACATTCAGGATTTTCATTTAGTGTTAAAATAGGGGCAGCCTTTCTAACACCAACAGCAGTAGCTTTTCTGCTATAAACATATGGCTTTATCATTTTCACAACCATCAACCAGTGAATAGAAGACCCCCCATTCTAGGATTAAATAGAATATTGCAGGAAAAAACACTTACTCATCCCTGTTGCAAACTCCTTGAAATTAATAAGCCCATCCTTGTTCTCATCCAACATTCGAAACATTCTTTCCGCTAGCACTGGTGTGTGGAGGCCACAGGACCAAGGAGTCAGAGAAGCAAATAAATCTTTGAACTGCTCCATATTGATGCGGTACTGTTCTAAATAGGGAAGGCTCTGGTCTCGGTGAGCAGCTGCAGTGTGATTTCCCCAGTAACAACTCATTAGGTGTTTTGCCTGTCACCAAAAGGAATTAATAGTTCAGATAACAAGCACGTTTACAAAACTTTCAAACTTGAAGACCTCCCCAAAATTTATAAGAGAGGACCAGGAACTGACAGAAACTGAGCTGAACACTACTGATTTTGTTGTTGTTGTTGTTGTACAGTATTTACTTCTTAAATTGTTCAATCTGAGACATGGGCTCTGATCAATTCTGCAACATGCTAGAAAATAGACCACATGAAAATTAATCCTACTAATATAGGAAATGGTTCAGTGAGACGCAGATTCAGGCAAAAATACCTCAACAGACTGAATGGAAACTTTGAGAATACATTGCTTTTTTATTGGTGACTTTGAAAATTCTATGTGAAATTTGCATTGGAACCATGCCTCTTAAAGCCCTTTGCAATCAGATAGTTGGAAATGATGCTACTGATACTGTTACTAATACTAGAGATGGGACTTTGAACATTTTTAGACCTGCATCCTGAGAATTTGCCCTGAATCTCCCAGGCAGAATTCTGGGAATGTGAACCCAGGAACAGATGCCTATGTAAGAATTTTCTGTACCTCCACTGCTGCCTGTGTGGTTCTCTTCTGATAAACAAGGAAACTACCTGGTGATTCCTGGGACTCTCAGACTTCATGGGTGAGGTAGTTCCATGGGAGGCTCCTTCTATAAAACATAATGAACATCAAGACTTCCCCACCCACAAAGCCTTGGGTCTCCCAGGATCACTGTAGCCGTTTTCTTGTTTTTCAAGGGGAAAACACACAAATAGCAATAGAGGTGGAAAAAAGCATCTATTTCTGGGCTCCCACTCCCATTTTGCCTGGGAGATTCTGGGTGAATCCTGGGATTGAGAGTCCAAAAATTCCAAAGTTCCATCCCTAACTAAGACTCTACTACACCTAGCTGAATGAATAAATTCAGTTTACCAGTGACAAGTAAGGTATGGCTGAAACCTTTAAAACTGAAAAGAATCTGACAGTAATTGGCCAAGCAGAAACAATTCTGGAATAGCTCTAATGTTGCAACTCTCAGAGGAAGAGTTGCCCCACTAAAATAAGTATGAGTTACTTCTGAGTAAATATGCTTTCATACTGTAAGTTCATAAATTACATGCTGTCATTTTCTAAATAGCATTCAATTAATTCAGACTGTGGAGCAAAAGAGGTTCAACTACACCATAAGGTTCTTTTTTCTAAAACAACCTTGGTCCAACTGTGTGCTTGCTTGCTTGCTTGCTTTCTTTCTTTCTTTCTTTCTTTCTTTCTTTCTTTCTTTCTTTCTTTCTTTCTTTCTTTCTTTCTTTCTTTCTTTCTTTCTTTCTTTTATTTATATCCCGCCTATCTAGTCGGTTAAGACCACTCTAGTTGGTTAAGACCACTCTTGTTCGGTACACTTCAAAAAATAAATAGTTCCACTGAACAACTAGAAGAGAGGGGGCAGGATGTGGATAAAATCCTCCCCCTGCTTTCTCGCTTTCAACTGCTGACATGGAGAATTTCTACTTTTTGAACAGCCTCAGCTGCTGCAGCAGAGAGTTGAATTGCACACAAAACACTAATATTTTTATGCCATCTTTTTCCTCAAAAAGACCCAAGGCAACTTACATAAAAAACAGTATTTAAAACCTAAAAACAGTAAGTATCATAGAATCACAGAAAAGTGAAGTTGGAAGGGGCCTACAAGGTCATCAAGTGCAATCCCTTGCTTTAATATATATTTTAAAATATATAAATATATAAATATTAAAAGTATATTGAAATGGTAAATGAAAGCAATATTAAAACACATTTAAAACAAGAGAGCACAGCAATCCATGAAAAAAAAAACCTCTCAGACCACCAGTCATTAAGGAAAAGCGTGCCTGAAGAGAAAGGTCTTTGCCTGCCTGCAAAGGGACAGCAGTGATGGGGCCAGGCTAGCTTGCCATGGGAATGAGTTCCAGAGTCTGGGAGCGGCAACAGAGAAGACCCTCCCTCATGTCCCCACCAAGCATGCCTCTGAAGGTTGTGAGACCAGGAGAAAGGCCTCCACCGGGCAGGCTCACAGAGGGAGATGCAGTCTTTTAGATAGTTCGAACCCAAGCCGTTTAGGGCTTTATAGGTTAAAAACAGCACTTTGAATTGTGCCTGGAAATGCGTCGGCAGTCAGTGAAGCTGCTGTAATGGGAGTTATATTTTCCCTGTAACCACACCCCAGTTAACAATCTGGCTGTGGCATTTTGGACCTTCTAGAGTTTCCAAATATTCTCCAAAGGCAGCCCCACATAGAGCATGTTACAGTAATCTAGCTGAGATGTAACTAGGGCATGTGTTACCATGGCCAAATCAGACCTCTTAAGAAACAGGTGTGGCTGGCACATTAGTTTTAACTGTGCAAAGGCAGGACTCCTGGCCACTACTCAAACCCGGGCATCCAGGCTCAGAGATGAATCCAGAAACATCCCCAAGCTGCGGGTCTGTGTTTTCAGAGGAAGCATAACTTTAACTAGCACAGGCTAGTTATGCAGTCCGATTCCCTGATCTAGTTTTTGACTGACCAGGAGTACCTCTGTCTTGTCTGGATTAAGTTTCAATTTATTCGTCCTCATCCAGTCCATTATTGGCACCAGCCACTGATGTAGAACTGAAACAGCTTCCTTGGATTTAGATGCATTTCTCATTCAGCTAGAAAAATGCTCAGAAGCCAGGGTAGAATCAAAACAGTCTCCTCAAACTGTCATCAACATTAGCAGGCCATTTCCTGAGAGGCCAGAGCAATTACGGCTGTTTCAGTGATTTTAGAGTTGGTAGGCAGGGGGAGCATCACATCATTTTGGGCAAGGAGTGCTTGTTGCAGTAGCAGCAGTGGAAACTTCCCTCACTATTTTTTTTCAATGCTCATGGTGGCAGAGGCAGCTTTCTTATTCTAATCTATATTTAACAACTACATGAGCAACATTATGCTGGTGCTAAGGCCATGTTTTTTTTTCCCAAATGCCCCACAACTGACTCTGACATGACAACATAAGTAGATTTTTTTAACATTAAATTAGAAACAACAAGAAGAAAGGTAAAAAGAAAGTGTCACCACCACTGCTACATCTAGAGTTTTTTTTTTAATTCAGAGGAAGAGAGGACCTGTTGCTACATTCTGGAAAGCACCTCTCCAGTAAACTAATTCAAAACATTTCAAACTCTGCTCTCTCAGAAACTGTGTTACTATTTGTGTTTGTGGAAAATGCTTGAGCTCCATCAGGTGACGCTCAAAACTGGACAAACATATTCCAGGGCTTTGTAGAAGTATCCTATGTATGCGGAGCCCCCGGCATGACCATTCCTTACTAATGGCCATGGTGGTAGAAGCTTTACTTATACCATTTGTTTCAAAACTTGGATCTATTTTTTGAGAACATATTTGTTACTATGCATGTTTTGACAGAAATTGAGTCAAGATTTAAGATCTATACCGCCCCTTCATCCTGAAGTCTCAGGTCAGTAGAAAAGAATTATGATAAAGAGTGCATCAGTAAATTAGAATGACATTTCTTTTAATTTCTAAAACTTCCCTGTATGCTCATGCTTGGACTTTGGTGTGTATACAGTACAGGAGAGGCTCCAAAACTGGAAGGGTGAAAGCTGCTAGGAAGAAAAATATGAAAAATTATTTTGTAAGCAATCTTACCTTAAATACCACATAAAGGTCTTCTAATTCTTGCATAGAAAAGCCAATGTCACAAGATATGGCTCGGACCTACATGAATTCAGAGGGAAAAAAATTACAACTTATTTTTGTAAACTGTAAACCTGAAAAAGTTAAATTCTTTACTTTATTGGTCATCACAATGTATCAATGACAGCATCAAACATATGTGGCACTGTAATATCACAATTACACTTAAAAAGAAAGATTTAGGATTTTGGATGCTTGGCATGAATCTTCTTTGCTACCAGGGCAAATTTTGCTACTTGATGGCTAGTAAATACATCCCTGTCCACAAGCAGCATGCAGAGTTGAGCCAGAGGAGGGCTGTCACACAAAGCTCTAAGTATGCCTGCAAGGAATTTGCTCCTGGGTTGATCATATAAAGGACATCTTAACAAATAATGAGAAATATCGTCAACTTCTCCTGATCCACATATACAAAGTCTTTGATCAAAAGGAATATTTTCATATCTTCCTACTAACATTGCAGTTGGCATACACTGAAAGCGCAGGGCTGTAAACGCTTTTCTTAGAGGGGATGAGGTTAAATTAACAAAGTTGTCCTCCAAATAGAATTATGTTTTATACAAAGGGAACCAACAGTTATAGGACGTTTCTGCGATGGCACAGAGATTCGGCCTCTTAGATTAAAGACATAATTCAAGAAAAACAGGAAGCTGTATTTTACAAAGTATTACTAAATGACTTTCAATGTCCGGGGACTTGACCAGAGAAAGGAAGGAGTTGGTAACGATTTTGAGTAGAACACTACTCCCACGTTCGGGAGTCATTGATCTCTAAGATAGGAAGCTGCAAAAAAAACCCCAATGACAGCTGAAGAAGAACAGCTATATTCCCTTGAACTCAGCAGGGGAAGCACAGCAAAAAGCTAGTCAACAACATTAAATGCATTTCCTGCTCTCAATGCACTGTAACTGAAAGTGGGAAGAGGAAATATGTCACTCCTTATTCCTTTCAGCTTTTATCTATTCAATCCGCTCACTGTCAAAACATCTACAAGGGCATTAAAGGCATTTGCAGGAGACATCTGATGCTATCTAGAGGGAATGAACACCACAAAGACACAAACAAGAGAAAAAACCAACAGCAAGAATGTTTGAAAGCTATTCTTCCCTTGAGACTAGGAGGCCCAAGCAGTTTGGAGAATGGAAAAGGTCAGCATCTCCTATCGCCACACCCTTGATGCAGGGAGAGGAGCAGAGCAAACAAGCACAAAATTGTAGGAAGGCCTGCCATGTTTTCCTCATAATACAAATCGTTGCTTTCCCATACCAACTGATTTATATCAGCACACAGATAGATAGCAGTGTTCAAAAGCAGCTGATTCATCCCAGAATCATCAGTGATTTTTAAAAAAAATCTCTGCAACCCAGTTTTGCCACAGAACAACTGTCTTCAAGCACTTCCTTCAATAATATACCACAAAATGCCCTTTAATAACATACCAGTTACGTGGTCATCTGATTTACGTCTTTGTATTGTTCAACTTAATCCTATCCTCAAAAAGCAGGTAAAATTAGTTAGAGATCACTGTAAGAGGTGAGCACCACATACCACACTTCTCTTAGCTGTGTCTTCCAAAGAATGGATCACCTTCAATCTTTGCTTAAAGCGCATTTGCTCAATTTCATCTGCTTTCAAATGGCCAAATTTCTGTATTGAAAAAGTAGAAAAGGTTCAGAAATAAAGCCATAGAGGAACACTATGCATTTGATAGCATAATCAAAGTTACCAGATAATTTACTAAGCAATAATTTCTAGTACTTGTGTAGTAACAGTGATCAACTACTACCCTGTAGCTATGTTTGAAAGCTACAGACATAAATACAGTAGATCCTCACTTACGGAATTAATCCGTATTGGAATGGTGGCCGCAGGTCGAAAAGTCCGTAGGTCGAGGGTGCATTTCTCATAGGAATGTATTGAAAACCCATTGATTTTTTTTCCAAATCATGCCATCTTGTGTCGTTTGGAATTAATTGTTATAAGTGATTGTTATAATTGTATTTTCTGTGATTTATATATATTATATTGGTGTGTTTTCTATGTAGACATTGTCTAGAGGGGTGGGGTAAAAATCTAATAAATAAATAATAAATAAATAAATAATCCGTAACCGGCCTAAGGGAAAAAATCCTGGGCTTCCAAAGCAGCACCCGCTGCCCTCTACCTTCTGTCCCCGCTGCCCTCTGCCTCCCGTCCCCATGTGGGACAGGAGGCAGAGGGCACTGGGGACAGGAGACAAGAGGGCAGCGGGTTCAGCTTTCGAAGCCTGGCAAGCCGAAAGCCACGGGCAGCTTTGAATTTCACGCCCTTTCTCCCTGCCTTTCGTAGGTCAAATCTCCGGCCACAAGTTGAACCAAAAACTAGCGGCCGGAGCTTTTCGTACCTCGAAATTTTTGTAAGTAGGGACCTTCATAAGTCGAGGGTCCACTGTAGGGGAAAGCAAGGAGATAAGTTAGGGCAATAACAAGAGTCACTTTGTGAACACCAATAAGGTTGCACAGAAAGACTCTGTTCTTATGACTTTGCCAAGCATGTATATTGTAAGAAGTCAAGAATTATAACTAACAAGCTTAAAAAGAAAGGCATGGAGAGAAAGCAGTGGCGACAACACCAAAATTACAGGCTGAATTGTGTTTTTTTTGGTTTAATGAAACTGGCAAAAGAGACCATTCCTTGATATGTATATGGACTGTACATTTATTAAAGACAGTTTCACTTTAGTAAATAATACAGTACAATTAATTTACTAAATTAACAAAAATAAAATAGGAATTTAAAAGATAAGACAGTTTTTGACCTCATATGCTGTTTTTATAAGTTCAAATATATCAATTTCCTCTGGTGGATCATCCCCACTTGTCAGTAAGGCATGGAGATGGGGGATACGTGGAAAAACACTCTGTCGATTAACTACATTGTCCAGGTATCTATGGAGACAAAAAGTCAGGTCAGAACCTTGAAACAGTGGATAACCTGAAGAAGGAGAGTCAGAATCTTTATTAATATCTCATATACGTCTTCCTAGCCCAAAGTATTTTACTAATTATAGATTTTCACCAGTATAACCACATTTATGATTTATTATTTTTATTTATTATAATTTCCAGGCTCCCATAAACCTGTTAAGTACTACTAAACATCTGAATAATATTGTTGTCGTATTCTAGATGAATATATATTTTTACACAATACAAATACGTAGATTATATACTGTATATTTCCATGTATAAGATGCTACTTTTTCCTAAAATAGTTAGACTAAAAATTAAGGGTTATCTTATACATGGAAGTAAGCCGAGGAGAAAACCACATGGTTGCAAAATTGTCCATGTCTCTGAAAACACGCTCCCTCCAATCACGAGCCTTATGTAAATGATGTAAGCTGATGTGGAGGAGAGCGTGTAGGCCAGCGATGGTGAACCTATGGCACATGTGCCACAGCTGGCACGCAGAGCCCTCTCTGTGGGCATGCAAGCCATGCCGATGCAGCTGCCATGCCGGCCCGTGCAGGGCGCGGTGTCACTTGCTGATGTTGTGGCTCACTTCGAGTTCATGTCACCACCTTGTCCCCTGCCTGAAGGGAGCCCTCAAGTAGTGCTGGGGGTGGTGATCAGGTGGCGACAGCAGCAGCAGCAGGAGGTGGTGGAGGTGAAGGAGGAGCTGCGCTCGGCTGCCCCTCAGCACGAAATTGCTGCTGCCTGTTGACTGCAACTCCAGCGCCACAGGAGAGGGAGCGAGCGGGGCACAGCACAGCACAGGAAGCCCGGGTGAAGGCCCTGCCTATAATGGGGGGCATCCCCTGGCCACCCTCCGGAGGGCGTGCCGGTCCAGAGGGTGCCCGCTGATTTGGGCACTCGGGTTGAAAGAGGTCAAAATTAGGGGAGGGATCTTATACACAGAAAAATACTGTACATACACAATAAAAATATAACAATATACATATTAATAGCTGAAATTATGTTGTCCACATGTGCAGTGGAGATTATTTCACTGTCAGTGGCAAATTGCTACTGATTAAAAAAAGAAATCGTCACTAATTAAAGGTGTATTTCAGAGTGCACACAACTCATACAATGTAGCAAAGTACCATGCAACCTGAAATCTGCAAAGGAAGCCTTTAATCCATGGTGATCTGTAGCTGATGATAATATAACCACCTCAGCGCGTGCAGAGTGGCACAACAGGATGTCAGTCTCTAAAGTTACAGATAAGGCAAACTTTTAAGTTCCCCAGAACTTTTAACCAGACAAAGTTGTAAATAAATCTGGGGATAAAGTGAATGGTTAAAAAATCGGGTCAGATGTGATGGCCACGGCTCTTGGAGTCAGAATGTCAAGCAAGGCCAGATGGAGATCTGCAGATTCAACATGAGACCACCATGTCAAACACACCTCTCTTCTCTCTGCAGACAAAAGCCTGGCTTGGACCCAGTAGTACTGTCCATTACCTTAAAGATGAGGCTCACAGACTTCTTTGTAAGCTCATAGCAGAAAAACAGGTAGCAAACAGGTTTTACATCAGTAAAACAGGAGTTCAATCATGCTATCATGCTAAAAAATGCTGCAAAAAAAAAGCAAAGAAAAAAAAAGCAAGGCTACCTTCCCAAGACAGTCATGGCCTCGCCTTCATCAGAGCAATTTAGGAGCTTCTCCATGTTGGCATCCAAGATGGCCAGAGACACCTGCAAGATGACCTTGATGCCTTCATAGAAGAAGCAGTCAACAATGACCACAGCACTTTCAAAAGGCATGACACTGAGGAAGAGAGTAAGGAACCAGGAGAGAGAGATACTGGAAATGACTCCCAAATCTTGCATTTTCTCAGACAGCTGAGGAAGACAATCCCGTGTTAGGTCTTCAAAGATGCCCTGGTCTACCAGTGCGCCTGAATGAGCAACAGAGACAGGAAAAAGCAAGAAAAGTGTTAACCATAGCATGCTTATGTTCTGTTCAGAAAGGATTCTACAAAGCTCGGAAGGAAACATAAAAGGATGACGAAACAGCACAGAAGGTAAGGAGTCGGGTTGTGCTACAGAGCAAGTAGAAACACTGATGGTTTTAAAATATATGAATGAACTTCTGGATTACTTGTTATAGGCACTAAGAATATGATTAGATATATTGGACATAAAAAAACTACAGAAAACCAATGGTAAGATAAAATGTTTTGAAGGTTTTAGGTCTTCGTTCTTGAAGGTTTTCAAGCAAAAACCAGATACACATGCTTCACTTTAAATATGTCATGTTTTATAGGGAAGAGCTCAGTTTGCTCCATCCAACATGGTTTGAAAAACATTCATATTAAAAATAAGATGATTCTATGAAGTCAAACCTCTTCTAACTATCCAGCTGTTCCTAACAGAATCCCTCTTTAGCTACTTCAGCTTGAACTACTTAGCACCAATTCATGCTAATTCATGTTTTCCAGGCTAAATGGAAGACTTACCAACCACTCTGGTGTTATAGTAATCTGGCAGCATCCTCTCACACAGGGCCACAAGGAGCCAGAAAGCTTCTTCCTCATTACAATACAGTAGTAGTACAGATGTCACAATGTTCATAGCCTGATAGTAGGTAGACACACACATGGACGTACAAAGAGAATAATTCATGTCAGATGAAGATCATATTTAGGAAGGCATTCATTAACTGTGATTTACTATGTTAGAGCCTTAGACAAATTAAATGTGAAAATCTGAAGAAAATATTTTATAGCTTTTTATATTCTTGGTTTCATGAGCCAGGACCCTGTTTTTTTTAAATCAAAAACTAGGTGAGGGCCTACATAATTTCAGTGGATAGGGAGTACTTCTAACTGGCCCCTACCTCTTGCCATTTCCTCCATTCTTTATTCCTTCCCGCCAATCCCTTAAAAACAGTACAGACAGAAGGAGGGGATATTAGTTTCTAACTTACTGATGACTTCCCCTTTCTTATGCTCAACCCAAAGTGGTCACAGGGCCAAGCATAGCTTTCCCCTCAGGTAACGTACTCCCACTGACAGGAGCCATAAGCTCCAACAGGACACATCACCGAACTGGAATGAGTTCTGCCCTCTGACTCTGAGGCGATCCACGATCGCTGTCCTCTTACCTGGCAGTAGCCAATTGTGGGATTCCGAAAAGCATATGCCGTTAGCACCCTTCGAAGTGCAGCAATCCCCAGCTCATTCTGAAAGGCTGGGTGCTCTGGCATTGAACGATGCAAGTCCCTTTCAATTTCTTCTGTGGCCAAGTTATACTTCCCCATCGACTGTTCCACCAAGTCTGCATAGTATCCAGGGTGAGTGGCCATCTCGTTCGAGGCTCCTGAAGTGATGCACCAAAAAAAACACACCAGTTTTCTTGTTCATGACATTCAGGATGCACTCTGATGAAGGATATGTTTCTGGAGAGTGTCAACATCAATCCCTTTTCACTTTTAGATGCAAGACTAACAGCATGGTGTAATTTGGTAATATGCATAATATATGTAGAAGTGATGTTTTAGCTAACAAATTTATCCTATACTTTTTAAGTGGGCATGATCTTAAAAAAAACTTTTCATAAAAAAAAGCAAGATGGGTTGTAATTAATTTAGGACTGAAAGCTACTACAATCTGAAAGAATTACAGATGACAAACTGAACATTGCTTCCGGTTTGACACTGGAATCAGGCTATAACTGATTAACTGAAAAACTTTTCTTCAATTGGGGAAGCGGTTGAATGTACAGAATTACTACTTACCTGAAAACAGGAGCCATAGCTCTCCACGAAGATTCTCCGGAATCCCTTTTAATACCAGCTCACGGGTCTTGGCTGTTCGATACATACACATCCCCCTCCCATATTCAAAGAAATGAATGTTCCACGACTCCTCTTTCATTGTTTCCTTTGCCTGGAAAGAGAAGCATTAGGAGGTTCATCTGACGAGAAAGTTCAGCTAACCCCAATGCTGCATTTCTCCTTGTATTCCTATGCAGGATGTTTCACTTTATAAAACAATATATAAATATATCTTATGGTAACTATCTACACAGATATTGTAACAGTAATGGATAAAATTGAAATATGGTAGCATCCTGAATGGGGTGAAGAATGAATAGAGATCAAAGTTTAAGGGATTTGAATATTCTCTGAGGTGTGTTATCAGGACTAGTTTAATTAAAAATTCAGGAAAATGAACTTGGCCTCAATCTATAACACACCGGACAGTGAATATTACTCTGCTCCTGCCTGAGGCTAAAAAAATAGTGCAGAGGTTTCTTAATGTTAGTACACAATGTACCACACAAGAGACATTTATCTTCAAGCAGACCAACTTTTACATTCAAGTGCATAGTATCTTGGATTAAATGCATTATAAGATTAATATATTGGCCCTTGCTTAGTTTTCCATTCCTGGGGAAGGTTAAATTTCCAGGGAACTTAAAGTGCACCATTTTTTCCATTGATATACAGTATTTCATATCTCAAACCTTCTGTCAAAGATAATGTTATACCATGCATGCAAAGTTTTAGAAAAGGATGTAATTTTGTTTTAAATCACCAATACCTTAATATTTAGAAGGACATTTTGAGATGAACCTAGCTGAATCAGACTGGCCTATCTAGTCCAGTGCACATTCTTCATACAGTGGCCAATCTGTTGCCTGTGAGAAGTTCTCAGGACATAAACTGCAGTTGTGCTTTTCTTGCTTAATTGTACCTGATTGTATTTTCTCTTGTACTTACGAGTTGTAGTTATGATAAATGGCTTTACACAGGCTCATATTGTACTTTACTGTTCAATATCCCACCCTACCACATGCCCACTGATAGAGCTACTATCTTACCCCTTTTGATCCAAGAATTTCATCAGAGTTGGACCCAAACAGTTTAAGCAGTCCCTTGGATGCTGTTGGAACGTTATCAGTGCAAAAATTGACCAGCTGATTGTTGAGAGGAGAGGAAGGACTGGCTGAAAGTGCACCACTGGGAGACAGTTCTGGAGTTTCCTAAGAACAAGTAGACTAGCTGAAAATTATAAAGATACAAGCAGGCTTTTGTTGCAGTTTTTGGATATTTAATATGACCAAATAATGTCTGAAGAAGACTTTCCACTAAAGGTATACTGGAAGCAACAGCAGCACTAACTTCTTCATCCTTCACATTCACTCCATTGAAATATAGCTTTTCTTAAAGGAGACATTCTTCACTGTGAGGTGACCATCCAAGTTGTACATTGGGGTTAAAATCCCCGCTGGGTTACACAATCACAGAAGACGAATCTCACACAGACATTTCCCTCTTTCTACAATACAGCTTTTCTTAAAGGAGACATTCTTTCACTGTGAGGCGACCATCCAAGTTGTACATTGAGGTTAAAATCCACGCTGGGTTACACAATCACAGAAGAGGAATCTCACACAGACATTTCCCTCTTTCTAGCAGGCTCTCCTTCATGTGACCACATACTGACTGAAAAATCAAGCACACAAATGAGCAAATGAAAGAGAACCTGTAGAAGGGGGAACCTGCTGTGTGATTGCCCTTGCATGCACAGACTTCCTCTTGAAATTCTGGTCAGACCTTGCAACGTGGAGGTCAATTCATACATTACCAAGCAAGAGCCCCTTATTCACGATGAATCTATACTAACTTGGAAGCTCTCCTAGTGTGTGCAGCTGCGTAACACCTGAGTACAGAGACACATATATTTACAGTACCTTTCCGAATGTGCCTTAGAAATGCAACATGTGAAGGTGCACTAAGTATGAATGAAGATGGATGTAGCCAACAGGCTTTCTTGTACTCTCAACAGATATCCAAACTACTGGACAGAAGGTCAAGTACTGTGCTACATTTAGCAGCCATAACTGATATGTACTCCCTGGGTACGTACACTAGTCATGGAAAGCAGAAAAGGAACCTCCTCCCTTGTATTTCCTACATTTTTCTTTAATCTGAAGGTCCTTGAAATATATTTTTAAGTTCTTCTGTTCAGTATGCTCTCTTTAATATCCTGAATTTTCTCCCACTAAAGGAAAAGTATCTATTTTTCTTCCTCCCCCACTCAGTTATTTCTAAAGTTCATTTTCTTTATTCCTCTACCCTCAAGCCATCTCTTGTCACTCTAGTCATTTGTTTCACTACTAAAAAGTGGAACAGCAGTGAATTATTAGTACATTATCTCACGTGGAAAAGATTCAGTTAGGAAGCTTCCCTTAGTCAGAGAATTTAATCAGAGATCTCAGCAAACATTTCCCCTTGCTCAGCATCTGAGTTTGCTATCATTACCTAACCTCCATTCTCCTTGATCAGTTTCTTTCTGGTAGAAAACAATACGTGCTGAATAAAATCCAGGTCACTTGGTCTATAGCTTTGGGAAAAGGGCGACTCAATCCCTGATCTCTGCTCTGATCTGAGGAACAATCATATAAAAAGCATGTTGCTTATATACCACCCCACAGTGCTTAAAGCACTCTCTGGACAGTTTACAATTGAATTATGCAGGCTGCACAGTGCCTGTGCACTCAATTTCTCAACCTCAGAACGATGGAAGGCTGAGTAAACCTTGGTCCAGCTGTTTGGGATTGAATCCGGGTCATGTTTTGGCTGCACTATTTCAGTTTAACCACTGCAGCACAAGGCTCCCCAGTCCTACCATCTCATGAACAAAGTATATCAGCAGGGCTGGGTGGAGAGGTTGTAAGTAGCATGGAACAGCTGATCCCATGAGTTGCATACTTCCTCCCACTGTCAGCTACTTTCAGGTTCATGGTGTGCACTATCTGTTTGACTGACATGCATTCATGACCAAATGATCACCCACAGTAAACATACAATGGTTTGTATTTCCCCCTGCAGAGAGATTACGTCATGTGAGGAAAACACCACAGGACACTGCCATGTATCAGAACAGATTATCCATTTACTTCAGTATTATCTACTTTGATTAGCAGATTAACTCTGTACAATCTCCAGCAGAAGGTTGTTCCTATTTCTAAAAGGTTATTCCATTTTCTACAATAATACCAGGTACTGAATCTCAGACAATCCACACACAAATATGCACTTTGTCAATCAAATGAGATTCATCCTCTAGCTGCTCTTAGTCAAAGAAGTTAATCTCAGATCTCAAACCACTGCTCTAGCATCTGCAGCATAAAATGCAGCCTAATCTGTTTTACTTTAAACTTGTAGTAATACCTTCTGAGCTGTATCAATGGGAAAAGCCTTTTTTCCCTAAGAAAACTTGCCATAGGATAAGAATAAATTAGCTTCACCAATATTAAATAGGAGAAAATAAACTTAAGAAATCAAGACATGTCCAAGTCTTTTACAGAAAGTTAAACAAATTAGGGAAAAGCTTTCTCATGCTGTGAATAAATGAAACATCTCGATTCAACATCCAGCTTTTGAGAAGAAATACATGGAAGGGACCATACATTTAAAAGTATTCAAAACATGCCAAAACCATCAGAGAATACTAATATTACCCTGTCAGAGTTCGTTTCTAATACCTCCTGTGTATGGTCACTCTTCTTCCGCCCTCTGCCATTGTTACATGACTGCTTTGATGGCGTCTTCTGCAGGAAATCAGAAATTCTCTGTACCAGGAAATCCCGATCTTTCAAGTTGGCAAAAAGGAAAGTCATTTTGCTTTTGGTGCTAATGGAGAGCGGGCTAGGCAAGACACTGGAACTGTCAGCTTTCTCAACAATTGTGACCTACAAAATGCATGCAGGAATAATTTGGATATATCAGGCTTCTTTATAATACAATGTTCAATATCTAAGATTGACATTTAATAGGTAATTGACAGATCCAATAGTTATTTTTCTAAGATTCCTATCATCAACACATATGGTGGTTTGTACCATTTGAAGACAAGGTTTTAATTCTGAGAGGAAAATGCCTGTGTATGTGAGAAATAAAGGGAAAGCCAAGTGATAAAACAGTTCAAATACTTTCTTTCAGACAGTTGGTATCTCCTCAGATTCTCATGCTTAACTAAGTATCAGTTTGGCTCAGGACCAAAGCAGGAAGAAAACAGTACTGCAGGTACGTATCTCTCTCACGCATGCAAGTTTGCTCTTTGGGGGAATATGGCCAGACAATGCCAGTCTTTCAACACAAAAAGAAAAAGTTATGTAGCTGCATATGGTAAAACTGTGTCTTCCTTACATCAACCTGGCATAGCATTAATTTAACCAATGGGCTAACTTACTGAGGCTCAAAATCAAAATCTTACATCCTTCAAAAAATTTCTTAACATTACAAATAGTGCAGATACTGAGAGAATTAATTACTAAAAACAGATTCTCACCTCCCTGAGGGGTATTATGAGATGACAAGCCTCCTCTGCCTTGCTAGCAAAACAAATATAGTTGTTGGAAACAAACATTTGGCCAAGAATATGAATTTTGTTGAATGGGGTCCATAAAGTACAGTCTGTATGTCCATCAAGCCGTTCATCTTTGGGGAGGCGAAAAGTAGCCCTGTACCACTCATTTTTAGCTCGTGCATCCAAATCTCTGAAGAAAATGACAACAAAATATATCAGGCTTTCAGTGGGAAAATAATGCTTTCAAGTAATCAATTATTATAGGAGTGTTTCCTGTCCTTTTAAAACAGTTTCTGAAGAAGTTTTTTCTTCTTTCAATTGTGGAAATTGTTATACATGACAGATAGTTGGCAAAAATCTTTCGTACATATACAAAAATTTCAGTGCAAGTGTAGCAGAATTAAAATGAGGTTTCCTTCCAGGCCAATGAAAATGCAGGTTTTTAATTCCCAGACGAATGCTAATGGGATGAAATGCTAATGAGAACAACTGGCAAGAACCAGAGGACCCTAATTTGGCAGGGAAAAGATATGCTCAAGGTTGATGTGAGAATGAAGGTTTAAAGAAACAATGTTGGAAAAAAGCTGTTAGAAAAATTTACAGGTCACACTAAAATATATACCTAAAAAGTCACAATATCCTGGAACTGCTCCCATAGTGTGGCCAGATGTACCAACTCCTTTCCAAGACTAAGCTCAGGGATAAGCAAGATGTTATATGGAGAATGCAGACAGTTCCCTGGCTTATTCAGCAGCTGAAATTCCAGCAAAGAATTCCACTACCCCATTGGAATGTCAGGCAGCAAGAGAAAAGGGGAGGAACAGAATTTGGGAGAATCCATGTGGCCATTCTTGCCCTACATGCTCATCAACTGCATGGTCTCATTATCAACTATTTATTTTCAACCATGAAAGTAAGAAATGTGCTCATTTGAAGACAGTGGGAAAGGGTGTTTAAAAAACAAAATAAAACTACACTTCCCAGCATTCATAGCCAGCATAGCCAACTGTTCTTCCTTAAAGAAAAGAAACAGAAGAAGAAATGAAAGCTTAGAGTGTCTTGATACAAGACAGTCAAGTGGAAAGACAGAGTTGCAATTGTATTGCAATCCATGCAATGAAAACATGTTAAGAGCAGGCTTAAAATTATTCCTCATTCTTGGAATTAAACCACATTCAAAGAATGTTATACACAAATACTGCATGATAATATGTAAACTCTGATATTCAGAGCCCTTCCTTCCAATCTTAGGGGGACACAGACAGAAGCACACACCTACCTTTTGAGTGCCGAGATATTCTTGAGAGGCTTGCTGGGCTTGGGAAGTAACATGTCCTCTGTGAACCCTTTATTGTCAAATAGTTGCCGCATGGCAATATTAGCCAGCTGTTCCATTAACTTGAAGGTTTCGTTGATGTTGAGGAACATTGAAAAGTAGAATTCACTGTCCCTAGTACTCACTTTGATGCATTCAGGGAAGAGAAGAGTGGCATTCTTCTCCAATTGTGTTACATCTACCCACTGAATTATTAGAGTCACTATGGAGAAAAGGAAGTCCAAATCACCAATTGCTATCAGACACTTCAAACAATGACAGGTGTCAACCTTAATAAACTCCTTATTTTTCTTTTTCTCAGCCAAGTTATTATGACAATACATTGAGTAGAAGTATTTTACATAGATGTTGCTGAAGCACCCTGGTAAGGGGGCAAAGCAGATACTGTATAACATTGCAGATTGCTTAACCAAAGCTTTGCCAATATCTTCACTATTACATTCCAAAAGGTGAAATGAAAATTTCATAGCTTTCTTCCTACCAGAAAGAGTTTTATAAGAGTAAAACAATATTACAAGAGTTTTCATTCATTTTTCACATTTGGGAAAAATGTTTACAAATGAGTAACATATGTTTTTGCAAACAAGAATCCTGTATTATCCAAGATGTTTGTGCAAAAATAGAGGATGTGGTTTTTTTTTTCTCTTGCTAATTTTGCTGACTACTGTTCTTTTTGCTATTATTTAGGAGTGAAAAATCTTGTAGGCCATTTTGTTGAGGCTGAGAAAATGTACAAGTATTCATTAGATCCTTACTCAGGAATAGATCAATACCAACATATTATTTCACAATTACTTTCTGAAATGGGAATTCCCGCAGCTGTCTCCTACTACAGCACACAGTTAAATCAATATGGATGTTATTCATCCATCTATGTTCTCCCCATGACCTGAAAAGTTTAAAAAAATTAACAATATCAAATTAATTAAAATATGTTAGACCATTGATTCCGAACTTTGGATTCCTAGATACTGGATTATAACTCCCAGATTCTTTGACCCCGGCCAGCAAGGCCAACAATGTTTGGGAACCCAAGTTTAGGAACCATTGTGATAGATGACATTAAACAGGCTGACAGTTTACCTTCTTTGCCCAAAAGGAAGGAATAGAAACAAAGGTGGTTAACAGTCAGATACAGCCAGCCTTGTCTAGGCACACGTCCTTTCCAGTAGCTGCAGGAGTAGTAATTGACTAGTTTCTCAACTTCAGGCATTCCAAACTGTTTACGCATTTTCAGTTCTGCTTCTTTAAATTTACCAGGATCTTCTTCTCCCTGAGGCTGCTGATTCTTATTCTCCTCAGCAATTATGCCCTGCAAGGAAAAAGAAAAACGAATATATGAAGATCAGAAGTCTCCTCCATGAAACACGTTTGTGGGACTGCCTGTTCGCTAGGCACAGTTCATCTCTTTAGATTACATTTTGGTGTGGACCCAGTGCAATTGACAAACACTCAGTACTCAAATTATAATGAAAAATGTGGTCGCAATCTGTTGCTTCTATTTATTTATTTATTTATTTGATTTTTACCCCGCCCCTCTAGACCATGTCTACTCGGGGCGGCTTACAAAATAAAACAGAACAGTATAAAAATATATAAAATCATAAAATTACAATTACAATTTCAATTTAAAACAATTAATTTAAAGAGAGGATTACCAAGATGGAATAGCAAAGAAAAGAAAAAAGGAGAAAGACTTAATTGACTGGAGGGAAGGCCTGCTTGAATAGCCAAGTTTTTAACTGGCTTTTAAAAACACCCAGCGAAGGTGGCAGCCGAATTTCTGTTGGAAGAATGTTCCATAGCCGAGGAGCCACCGCCGAGAAGGCCCGGTTTCTTGTTTTTTCCTTCCGGGCCTCTCTCGGCGTCAGACCCCTCAGCCGCCCCTGCTGGCTATGTCGGGTGATTCGGGTAGATCCGGGTGGGAGAAGACGGTCTGCCAAATATTGAGGTCCCAAACCGTTTAGGGCTTTATAAGTGATCACTAGCACTTTGAAGTCAACGCGGAAATGGATGGGCAACCAGTGCAAAGCAGCCAGGGTGGGGGAGATATGCTGGTGTTTTCTCACCCCACTAAGGAGCCTGGCTGCTGCATTCTGGACCATCTGAAGTTTCCGCGTCAGCCTCAAAGGCAGCCCCACGTAGAGTGC